CTGCCAGGCCGTCCGCGTCCGCAGTCATGACGGAGACGAGCTCCTGGCAGGGCAGGCCACGCAGCGCAGTGCCCGCGAGGCGGGGCCCTCTTCAGGAGCAGGCTGTCAAGCGCTCGCATTTCTCCACCACCAGTCTTGCCCGCTCTTCCTCACCTCCTCCGCCTCCTCCCTCTTGATACTCCTCCTCCTCCTCCTCCTTGCTCCGCTTCCTTCCCTGACTTCTGCTTCCCTTTGCTCCTCCTCTCCCTGACTTCCTGCCTTCTTTTGACTCGCGCTCCGCCACCACAGCACTGGCGCGGGTTCCTCCGGGGCAGACACAAGGGACCTGCAAGCTCGCCATCTCCTCCTCCTCCTCCTCCTCCTCCTCCTCCTCGTTCTGCTCCTCCTCCTCCTCCTCCTCCTCCTCCTCCTCGTTCTCCTCCTCGTTATCCTCCTCGTTCTCCTCCTCGTTCTCCTCCTCGCACTCTCCTCCTCGCACTCTCCTCCTCCATCCTTCCGGCTTCGCTGACCAGCGCGTGAGGCGGGCGACACTGTTGCTGTGCCGAGCGCCGCCGCGAGGCCCCGGCCCCGGAGACCAGGGAGTCTGTGCGCCACGCGCCTGAAGAAATGGTTCCTGGGCTTCGATGTGCGTTCGCAGGACCTACAGTCGGGGGCTTGACCTAAGGAACCCAAAATAAGGAACGAGGCCCTTTTTTCCATGAGTCAAACTTCGATTTCCGATCGACAGGGCGGGCTCGGGCGTCGGGAGCGCGCGGGCCCGGTGCAGGCGATTCGGGAATCGGGGCTCGAGAGCACGAGCCTGGCGCACTCTACAGTCGGGGCGTTGACCTAAGGAACCCTTAATAAGGAATGAGGCCACTTTTTCCATGAGTGAAACTTCGATGTCCGATCGAAGACATGAGAAACACCTGGGGCAAGCTGCGGAACACTCAAGGAACGCGGAGCCCCTCCCCAACGAAAAGGGTTCCTTCTTCAGGGCCCCGACTCTAGGTCTGCGCCGCCAACTCCTTAGTGGGCTCTTCTTCCCTCTCCTCCGCAGGACTCAGCACTGCAGACATCTGATCCTTGGCAAGAGCTGCCCTCGCCTCCTCCTCCTCCTTCTCCTCCCGACGGCACGCTCCTGCCTGCTTTTGGCTGCTCCACCTCCTCCTCCTCCTCCTCGTCCTCCTCCTCCTCCTCCCGACGGAACGCTCCAGCTTGATTCTGGCTGCTCGTCCTCCTCATCCGCCGCCTCCTCCTCAGGACGCAGCCAGGACAGGGACAAAACACGGACCAGGACAAATCGGGATCTCTGAGACCTGGCGGCTCCGGAGGATGTATCGGGCGCCGCGGCCTTCTCAGCGCGTTCTGGAACGCTCTCCGAGAGCGTCCCGGGGCGCTCTGGAAGAAGTTGTCCCTCGCCCCTCGTCCTCCTCCACCAGGATTAGGTCGGGCATGTCCCCCTACGGGCGGATTCTGGGCCACACGATGAACAATATTCTAAACATATTTTAAATAGTCAGACAATATGCAAGAAACCGTCCCCAGACCATGGTTGGATTATCTCTGCATCTTACTCCTGTAGAGGGACAGGCCCGACTGAATTCCAGGAGCGCCCGCGCCCACCCGATGAAACCTAACGCGACCGATGCAGCACTGGCATTTTTCGTCGCTCGCTGGCTCGGGCCCGCTTGAAGGGACCCTGGGACACACAAATACATTCTCACAAATTCAAGGATTCACCATAATTTCCAATACTTTCTGGGCTTTCGTCTCCCCCCCAACTTCCCATATTGTCCCATATTTTCTGGGAATCGACGATGAATTTGCGGGCAGGATGCGTATCCATATCAAGTGCGTCTTGGACTTTCTCGGACGGGGCGCCACAAGGCCGAGGCGCACTGGACGTGGATACACATCGAGCTTCTAGGTGGCAAATTTATCCATATCCAGTGCGCCTCGTGTTTTTGGGGACGGGAGCCCGAAACTCCATACTGCAGTGGCGAGACATCCTCGGAATTCCTGCGCGCGGGGCGCTTTTCCGCGTCGCGGTCGGGGCTCCAGACCTTGTTTTTCTTCGAGGATTCTGCTAAAAGTGCCCCGCACCCTCTTTTTCACATAGGGAAACGGGGGTCCGCGGACCCCGCTATTTATCAAAGATCCGGGGTGGTGGGTCGACTTTCCTCGAGCGGGCAAGTGCGAAACACATTTTTCCAAGCCGAATTGGATTTTACATCGCTTTTTAATCAAGCGGAAATCAGTCGGCCCTCTTCCGGGCGGGAGTTTTCTAACTAAAAAAAACCTTGGGCCCCCGCCCTTTCCGGGAACAAAAATGTGACAGAGTTTTTGGACTTCCGCGCGCGCGCGCTTCCTTACCATCACCCTCACTAGCACCGCCGCACCATCATCGACAATCACAACCAATGCCGCCATCATCATTCAAGCACTTCCGTCATCGCCACGTGGGCATCACCATCGACATGATCAGCAACGGCGCCGTTATTGGCCTTGTCGTCGTCATCGTCGTTATCGCCACCGCATTTTCTACTACTATCATCGTTGCCGCCGTTGTCGACGTCATCATGATATCGCGCCCGTTCGAGTCACCGACACGCAATGCGCACTGGAAGTGCCCGCGCGCCAGCGCGGCCATCTGAAAGGACCGTCGCGACAACATGGATTGTGCCAAACCCAGCCGCCCGCTCCGCGAGCAAGCTTGCGCGCGCCAGCGCGGCTGCAGAGATGCGCCAGCCATGGCCAAGCAGTCATCGCAATCGCCCTCGCATGAGTTTGCAAACCAAGTTGCGGGTGGGAGCGTAGGATGATTGCGCGAGAAATGGAATTCACAGGGCAAGAGTTAGCAAGCATCACTTTGCACCAATAGATAGGTACCACATGTATTGCGCCGCCTAGAACGCACCACATTGCTTGCACCATCTTGCTTGGACAACCTAGATTGCACAACATAGACTGCACGACAGCACTGTTTGGGGTCCACGCTAGCTAACATTCCCTTGTCGCGCTTCGCTCGAGGATTCTACTTGTTGTCAGAACGGTGACAGGTGAGCCCTGGAGCACGTGAGCGCCCATTGGTCTGGATTGCTACGACCCATGTTTTACACTAAGCAATACATTGGTGCTCTCCCCCCTGTCCAGGCTGTAGTTCGTGCGTTTCCGAGGAGTTCTTGGGAATACCAAGAAGAACACACGTTTCCACTAATCGACCTCCCACTCGTTAAACTTTGCTGCTGTTCGAATGCTTTGCTGGGGTCATGCCTAACCCCTCCCACTCCGCCTGCACGCGGCATGGGGCGGCCTCTTCCAGCGTCACGAGCTTCATGAACAGCCACATGAAGAACAGCACCACGCAGACTCCGACCCAGATGATGGACCAGTTGAGCAACCGGTAGAACTGGAACATGTGGCTTGGCCCAGGAAGGAGGAGGCGCAGGGCCCGGGGCCAAGGGGGGAAGAAGGAGGGGAGGTATGGGGGGAAAAGGGGGGAAGGGCGGGCAGGGAGCAGAGCAGAGGGAGAGGACATCGAGAACGGGGGAGAGGCCCTCATGCGAGAGGGGCCGGGGGGGAGGGAAACGCTGAAAGAGGGATGTGTCCACCGCGAAGAATCATCTCTGCCAAGTTCGGTTAGTAACTCGTCTGTTCTGCTGTTTGGGGCATGAGTCGGAGGGAGGGAGGGAGGGAGGGGCATGCGTCGGAGGGTCATGAGGGAGGGGAGGAACATGCGTCAGAGTGTTTGGCGGTAGTGGTGCAAGAGGGAGGGGCACGAGTCGGAGGAGGAGGAGGAGGACGACGGCCAGCAACAGGTCAGGTGTGATACTGAATGCGTCAAGTGCTGGTGATGGTCACCTCATGCCTGTACTCTCGGCATGGCGGACCATGCCTACGAAGGGGGAGGGTAGCCATAACCAACACCTGGGGATCGACCTTCTGGGACCTCGACCAGCAGCTTATCTGGACATATTCTGCCCGCCCCCAAGGCCCGACTCAAATTTCTATCCGCCGCCTGCTGGGGCCCCCGAAGATGGATGCCCCAGGCGGTCCCCGCCTCGAAGCGCCGAGTTCGACCTCTTCCCTGAGCGCACAGGACCTCGCGGTCACCGCGGCGGCCCCCGAGGAGAGGGGCGGCGGTCCTCGTCTGCTCGCTGTCTCTGGGCGGACTGTGGGCACGACTTACTCGCAGGCAGCTCCGGAGGTGCTGAAAGCTCTGCCGGGTGGGCGAGGACAGGAGGAGGACCTTGGCACAAGCAGCAGGAACAACTACGCGTGAACCCTGCCCCTGAAGCTCAGGCTTCTGAACCCCAGAACTCGAAGGGTGTCTGCCGCCAGGTAAACCTCAGCGGGTAGCCCGACACCCCAGCGTCGACTGGACCCGCGGGGGTGGGCCTCGCAAGTGGCCGCACAAAATGGAAATGCGTCCTCGGGGAAAAGGGTTCTGGAGACCGAGGGCTTTCTCTAGGACCAACTGTCCATCCTGCGTCGCCGTCTGGCGGCCCCGGGGGCCCAGAAGGGCAACAGAAACCTCAGAAGCCTGCTCTTTCCCTTAGGAGCCCCTAAGGACGCGGTGAGGATCATGGCGACGAGCAACATCCCCACCGAATCTCGCCCGCTCGCTCCCCAGAAACATAATCGAAGCAACACAAATATGCAACTGCACGTCGCGGCCCACGGCTTTAGACCGGTCGTCCGCTTCAGGGGAGCACAAGGATGTAGTGTGCGCAATGACCGGCCCGCGCTTCTGCCAGGACTTGGCATATCGCACGAGGAAAGCGTAGCGTGCAAGCGCCGCGGACGCCAAACACACACACACACATTCACACACACACACACACCACGGCCCGGGGCCTCGAGGGCCCGCACGAGCCTCAGGAGGTGGAAGCCAAATCAGGCACAAGAGATCAACTGCTCACAGCGGGCTCAGTCGCGCGGTCCAGGGCGGATCCAATGCACTGCAATGCAAACCAACGCAACCAATGCGGAGCAATTCAAGTCAATGCGAAACAATGGGAAATAATGCGAAGCAATGTAAATAATCGCAGCGCAACGCGAAACAATGCAAAGTAATGCAAAGCAATGCAGAGCAACGCAGCGCAAAGCAATTCAAAGCAACGCCCAGCAATGCAGAACGATCCAATCCAATTCCAAGAAATTCCAAGCAATGCAAAGCGACGCAAAGCGATGCAAACCTGTGCAATGCAGTGCAAAGCAATAACAAGCAGTGCAAACGAAGGCAACGCAGCGCAGACCAGCGCAAAGAAATGCAAAGCATCGCATAGCACGTCGAAGCCATGCGAAGCAATGCAAAGCGTTGCAGAGCAGTGCAAAGGCATGCAGAGGCATGCAGAGGCATGCAGAGGCATGCAGGAGGCATGCAAACGTCCGAGGGAACGGTGGCGGCGACGGGCAGCGACGGCCGGCCACGAGACGGCTGGACCGACACCCAGGGCCCAGTGCAGGTGGCGGAAGAGGGACGGCTAGGGGGCCACATGCGAACCCTGCGCCTACCCCCCCACGATTGCTGAGGGGGAGGGTGGGGGCTCACTTCGTTCGGGAGCTCCCGAGCGAAGTGAACCCCACCCTCCCCCTCAGAAATCGTGGGGGGGTAGGGGCTAAGTGGGCCCCGGAAACGGCAGGGCCGTTTTTTCACCGTTTCCAAAAAAATGACCCTTGAAAATGGAAACGGCAAGAAAACGGCGACCGGAAACGGCAAAAAAACGGCTCCAGGATTGGAACCGGAGCCGGAACCGGTCAAAAAAAGGGCGACGGAACCGGCAACAAAAACGGCGTCGGAACCGGCAACAAAAACACGGCAAAACGGAACCGGAAACAAAAACGGCCTTGTCGTTTCCAGGGCCCACTGAGGGTATGGGGCAGGGCTCGCATGTGGCCCCCTACTGGACCGACCCCCGGGGCCCAGTGCAGGTGGCGGCAGAGGGGACGGCGGCGACGGGCGGCGAGGGTCTGCCGCGGGACCGACGCCGCGCTCCAGGTGCCTCGGAAGAGAAGGGAGCACGGGCCCTCCCCCGCAGAAATCGCAGAGGGGTAGGGGCAGGGCTCGCACCTGGCCCCCTGCTGGACCGACACCCCAGGGCCCCGTGCAGGTGGCGGCAGAGGGGACGGCGGCGACGGGCGGCGGAAGAGGGTCTGCCGCAGGACCGACGCCGCGGTCCAAGGTGCCTCACAGGAGAGGCGGGAGCACGCCCCACGCGCAAGCACGCTAATGGGGAACACTGCAGGGCGGTTTTCAACACATTGGATTTTGAAACATAGCAGTTTTCTTATTGCATGATTAATGTATGCATCCTCGACCCCCCTCCTCCTCCTCCTCCTCCTCCTCCTCCTCCTCCTCCTCCGCCTTTTCCTCCTCCTCCTCCTCGATCCTCCTCGATCCTCCTCCTCGATCATCCTCCTCGATCCTGGGCCCTCGCCTCGAGGATCGACCATGGGCGAGGAGGAATTGGAAGGCAGCATGGGGCACAGCCTCGAGCATCGCTGTTTTAATACTGAATCGTTGCATTTTTAACACGTGATCCGCACGCGGAGCATGTAGCATAAAAAGCGGCACCGGATTCCCCAATCGGGGGGAACGGGATGTGGGAGCACGGGCGCTCCGGAGCAGACCTGGCGAGAGCGCCACGCTGAGCGCCTCGTCAAGGAGCGCTTTTTGCTTTGTCTCGTGAGGCTCGAGAAGCCAGGCGCGACGTCACGCAACGGCTCAAGGCAGCAGGAGCTCCCTGCAAAGCGTAGCGCTCGAGGGAGCAGATCCCAGAAGCGCCAACGGTCCTCTTGCCGCATGAGGCTGCCGAAACCACTGCTGTACAAAATGCAACGTCTCGCGCTAAGAAACGTCTCGAGCTGTCACATACCGCATCCTGCCACACACTGCATCCTTCCAGCATTGACCATGACGACGCCTGGGCCTGCATGCACCATGGAGGAAGCCGAGAAAGGATGGCCAAGGGAAAAAAAACAGGAGGCCATGAACTGCACCGCAATACCAACCGCTGGCCTTATGTTGATCCCATCGTACTTACGGACCACATCCCAAAAGTAATTTCGAGCTCCCGGAAAAGTGTCGAGAGAGTGTCGAAATAATGTCGGACGAGTGTCTCCCAGGGCCCGACACGTGAAAACCTGGAGTTGTTGGGCACTTTTCTGTGATCCAGGCTAAAGTAGGTTGGAACACATCATAAGACTCGGGCACACTGCCGCGCCGCCGAGCACCGAGTCCACAGCGGGCTGCGCCGTGAGAAAAAGGATGCTGGAGCAGCGGATTGAGGGAGGGCCAAGTCGAGACGACGGCGGACATCCCTAGAGTGCTTCGAGGTCCTCTTGGGCCCTCTGGAAGCTCGTCGTCGCCACAGCTGGGCCCGCAGCAACAAGAGGGTCAGAATGGAGCCCAGAAGGGGTCTGCAGGACGGATGTTGAGCGGGTCTGGGCCGACCGGGAGAGCCGCCGGGGTCTCGGCTGGCCCTTCTTCGCGGGTTCCGGAAAACAGCACAAAATGTGACAGAGCCCTACATGGGGCATTCTCGCAGCCGCGGGTTCGAACGAGACGACGGCCTGCATCCACACCCCAACGCTTTCCCATTCTGGCCGCGGCGCGCTCCCCGGAAACGATGGCCCCAGCGTCCCAAACGTGATGAAACTGAGCTGGCCCTTTTACGTTAGCGCTCTCAGGAGGAGCCCGCATCCCTCGTGAGAATGTTGGGTGCCGGGTAAGAACTGGCACAAGGAATGCCGACTCAAAGAGTTGCTGCTTGTGCCGTCGCTCTGGAGAGCACGATCCAAGCATATGCGAGCAGGGCCGGAGCCCGACCGGTGAACCATCACGCCAGCCACTTCAGCGTGACGGGCTCCCCCTGGAGGTGTCCTGACCACCATCCATCCTGGCCGAACATGCGACGTCCCGATTTTTGTTGATACGGGGCCCCTGGAGGTCCCGACCCTTTCCCCAGGACCAGTTTTTCATCCCGAGTCGTTTTTCGACGTGCCCGAGGCTCGGCGAGGGCCCCCCGAGGCCGAAATTGGCCAAAAACCTCCCGTACTGATTTCTGTTACGACGCGATCATGTCTGGGTGGAACACCCGCGTTCACCACCCGTGCACCGACAGCGTCGTATACTTTTCTGTTCCCGCGCTCACGTGCGCGCGGCAACAGATAAGTTATACGACGCTGGTTGTGCTCGGGGGGTGATACGGGAGACGATAAGGGGGGGGCCTTGGCTCCTGGGGGGGGGAGGGAAAGGGGGGGGGTGGGGAACATCGAGGGGGCGAGGGGGTGAGTGGGAGAAGTGGGGAGGGGGGAGGGGGGGTGATGGGGGGGAGAGGAGGGGGGAGTGGGGGGGGGAAGGGGGCGGGGAAACATCGACCTGGAATCAGCGTCACACCGCGGATAGATCGGCAACGGAGCCGCACGCTCCTGGGCGGGGTGGGCGGCGATGAGTGGGCGACTGGAGCCAATGCAATTACCCTCCTCCTCCTCCTCCTCCTCCTCCTCCTCCTCCTCCTCCTGCTTCTCCTACTCCTCCTCGTCCTCCCCCTTCTCATTATAATCTTCCTCCTCCTCCTTTGAAATGCCCGGAATTTGGCACCAACGCCGACACAGAGAGGTGACTTTGAGGGGGAAAATGATCCTCGACTTCGGTGTTGGTAGTAATATTGTAATCTTTCGGCCACTTATATAAGAAGCCCGAGCATTGCCACCATAGCCGACATTGGGGTCATCTTCCCTCGGTGGAGGCAACCGCCGATGTTGGTGTTGATGCCAACCCCTGGAGCTCCCATCCTCCTCCCCCCGGACGTTGCCCCAGGGGGGGGCATGCACCGAGGGAGCACGACGGAGTCTGGCCTCGAGAAACCAACAGAAACATAAACGCTAACTCTTGGAGGTCCGGGCGCCAGAGGCGCCGCCAGAGGGCTCAGGCGCCGATCCGACGAATCTGCGCGGACTTCCGACAAATTATTGTTACGAGATGTGTTGTTCCACGATGATCCACAGATAGGAGCCCCTCTAGCTCTGCCCGAGCGCGCCGCCCCCGCAAAACATGACGCCTGCCACAGCGCATCGCTAGCTCGACGGAAGTCGACCGACGTGCATGGCTGGACTGGACTGTCTCGCGCCCCTAGGAAATCGCGGCCCGAGGCTTCCGGTTATGTTTGGCACCCGGGGCCCCGCGTAATTGCAGCCCTGGAGCCCCCATCGCCCGCGACCGGAAATTGTCGGCAAAGGAGTCCGGGCGCACCAGACTGCGATCGCGAACGGGGGAGCTCCGCTTTCGGTAGAAAAGAGACGGCGCCCCAGTCTCCAAGCGAATATCACCCGAACTCGCGACAGGATGCCGAATTTCGGTCGCGACTGTCTCGTCCAGGGCGTTACCCAACATTTTCGGTCACGGATGATCTGCGACGGGAGGACCTCCATTTGGAGTCCCGAAACGGTGCGGCGACAGAGCGTGCGGTGACCTTGAAATCCCCCAAAACCTCACCGCACGGTTCGTCACCGCACGGTCTTGGGACCTCGGAGGCCCCAGTCGCCCGAGACGCCCTCGGAGAACGACCCGAGTCCCAAAACAGTGCGGCGACCGGTCACCACCCCGTTTGGGGACCCCCGACTCCATCCCCCCCCGTCCTCTGAAAGGGGCGGAACAGCGCTCCCGGAACAGCGCTCCCGGCGACAGAGGATTGAGGATTCCCCCCACCTCTGGTTTGTGACCCCCGGCTGGCGTGTCAGTTCTTGCTGCCTTCTAGGCTTCGCGTGGTGTTCAGAGACGCGGTTCCGGCGATCTTGGTGGCCCCGAAAGCGTGATATAATTCTTGGATTCGTATTTACCAGCCCATGGACCGCCGAAGGACGGTTCAGGCTGAGAAACTGGTCCCGGGGAGCGGCTCGAGAATTCTGCGGGTCAAGACGTCGCGACGATATCCTGCATTTGGGGGGCGCCAATGCTGCGGGCAAAATGTTCATCAACATCTAGTGCGCTGGAGACTTTGTTGGAAGGGGTGCCGCAAGGCCGAAGCGCACTGGAGACAGATAAACCCCGAGCCTCTGGTGGCCAAATTCTCATCCATACCCAGTGCGCTTCTAGTTTTTGGAGAAAGGGAGCCCGAAACTCCAAAATGCAATGGATATGGAAACAAGACGTGCCCACAAACGCAGCCGACGCCGGAAACCTGACAATATGATTGTGGCAGTGCGCGACCCCATGTCGCGACCCGCTCCCCGGGTGAAGTTTTCCACCCCGGATCCATTGCTGATGGCCCTGAGGCCCAAGAGCGGCCCCCCGAGACAGAAACCGAGGAACAGCGCATGGTCTGAACAAGCACAACTCCTCGTCGGAGCTATAGGGGTCCGAGAAGATTGGTGGAGCACGGACCGACCGTCCCAGCATATTCCTGCAGGCCTCCCACGACGTGTCCTGAGAGCGAGAGGATGCTCGAAAAATGAAGCCAGTAGCCCTAGAACGTACAGCGCCGATGTCTGAAAACAAGGCGGCTTCACGAGCAGGGCGCGCAAACCTCAAGAATGCCTTTCTCTGGGAGGCCGACGGGACCAATGAGCCAAGTGCGACGTGCCTCGCACGCGCGGAGCTGCGGCCGCCATTGATCCGAGAGCAGCCTGCCACAAAGGGGCACGCATGCGCCTCACGCGCGCGGAGTTGCGGCCACCATTGAGCTAAGTGCAACGTGCCACAAACGGGCAACGCACACTATTCACTTGCGCGGAGCTGCGGCCACCGTCGAGCCACGCGCAACGCTGCCACAAAGGGGCCGATACACGCCTCACACGTGCCCACCCAACGCATGGACAAGCGCGCGACGGCGCCCGCACGCACGGCCACGGTGGGCGAGCAAAAGCCGCACCGCAGGTGCCCCCCTCGCCGACCGTGGCGGGGCACCCCTCCCAGCCGAGCGCGCGCGGCGCCCCTACCAACCCTGGGCGGCACGCGCGCCCCCTCGCGCGCTCGCCCATGCAAACGGGGCGGATTGCGGGACGCCTCGCGCCCATCGTTTGGGCTTGCGTCGCCCCGCGCCGCTGCGCGCCCCGCAGCGCCCCCCCTTCCCTTTCGCTCAAGAGTGGGGCTGGGGTGGGGGGCGCCCGCCCCGTTGTTCCGCGCCCGCGATCAACGTTGCGCGAAGATCGCCCACCACTTCCTCGCGAAAACACCACTTGCCCATCTCTTCCTCCCCCCCCCCTCCGAATATAACCCCCTCCAGCTCCATCTCCGTCGTCGGCCAACCTTCCTGTTTCCCCGCCCCCCTCTATCCCTACGCCGCTCCCACTTTCGCGTCCTCCTCGCATCCATTCACGTGGCCGCACGCCAAAACACTTTCAAAACCGCACGCGCAAACCATCCGCATGCCTCGGGTTGAAAACCAAAGCCACGCTGATACTTCAATTTTAAAAGCAAACGCGCCTGTCCGCGAAAACAGCTGATGACGCGGCGACGGCGACGGCGACGATGACGTGGACAACGCGAACAAACGACGACGACAACAACGAAGGCACCGACGGCAACCGACGGCTCGCGACCCCCGAATAACAAACAACAGGACCGACGACGACGACAAAGACGCAAACCGCCCCAATTAGTTCCAACCCTCGCGCCCCGTTTTCACTGTCAGAACCAATCCATGATGTGACTTCCACGGTGAACGCACCCGTCCGCGCGTAGAGCGCAGATAACGACGGCGACGACGACGACGACAAGGACGGACGCTACGACACCAACAACAACAACGACGACAACGAGGACACCAAGAACAACCGACGACTGGCGACCAAGAAAAGGCAAACGAACATCGACGACGAACCCGACGCAGTCTGTCATCACCGTGCCTCGGGCTGGCAACCAAGACCACTTCGATATTTCAATGTTAGGGCAGACGCGCCCGTCGTCCGCGAACGCAGCTGATGAATCGACGACGGCGGCAATGACGTCGACGACGAATAAGGCAACGCGAACAACCGACAACCACAACAACAAACGCAACGTCGACAAACGACGGGCCCCGCCCCACGGAAAACAAACGGCCATCGACGACGACGACGACAACGACGCAAGCCGCCCCAATTTGTTCACACCGTCGTGCCTTGGGCCCATTACCAAACACAATACATGCTTCCGAATCCACAGTAAACGTTCCCGTCCGCGAGTAGGGCGCCGACAACGACAGACGATGACGACAAAAACGACGGCTACAACAACAACAAAACACAGCAACAACAACAACAACAACAGCAAAAACAACAACAACAACAATTACTAGCACGTGGGGACACTCCGTTCTCACCAGTGCCAGGGTTTTCATAGGAGGCGGGCAATACCCCCACTTTGTGGGGGGGCCGGTTCAAGCTCTACCAAATTTCCAAACGACTCTTCGCCACCACCCACACCCAGCTTCCCGCCCTATGACGTTCGGACACTTCACTTCGTGGCATGCGGACGACCGTGGCTACTATTCAGGGCCCCGCGGCCGACGACGACGGCGTGCGCGCGCGAAGAAAAAACGAATGTGTCCCGCATGGTATTATTTGACAGGGATGATGGCCCTGGCAGGTGCGCAACCGTTGTCGCAGAAGTTCGAAAAAGTTGCTCGCAAAAGCCCGTTTGACAGAAATGTTTAAAAAGTGTTGGGTTTCCTACGAATCCGCAAGAGCGCGCGGGATGAGATTTTGACAATTTTTTGTTGAAAAACCATTGGTTTTTTGATGTTTTTATGTTAAAATCGCTGCGAACACTAAGGTTTTGGAAGGATTTCGTCTTGCGCGCGCGAATGTCCACTTTACCTTATTTTTTGCAAGGGATTCTTGAAATTTGATTATATTAGAACAAGAAATGTCATTTTCTATTGTTTTTTGCAAGGGAAAGCGGATTACAACAAAACAACCGGATCCTGTACACACCCTCTTTTCTGAGGCTTCCTCACGAAAATGATGAAAATGTAGCTGCGGCCTAGGCGGCGCAGGGGGGGCGCGCACCAGGGGGCCCAACAATAATTATTCTTTAGAATAAATAATGTTCAACAACAACAACAACAACAACAACAACAACAACAACAACAACAACAACAACAACAATTACTAGCACGTGGGGACACACCGTTCTCACCAGTGCCAGGGTTTTCATAGGAGGCGGGCAATACCCCCACTTTGTGGGGGGGCCGGTTCAAGCTCTACCAAATTTCCAAACGACTCTTCGCCACCACCCACACCCAGCTTCCCGCCCTATGACGTTCGGACACTTCACTTCGTGGCATGCGGACGACCGTGGCTACTATTCAGGGCCCCGCGGCCGACGACGACGGCGTGCGCGCGCGAAGAAAAAACGAATGTGTCCCGCATGGTATTATTTGACAGGGATGATGGCCCTGGCAGGTGCGCAACCGTTGTTGCAGAAGTTCGAAAAAGTTGCTCGCAAAAGCCCGTTTGACAGAAATGATTAAAAAGTGTTGGGTTTCCTACGAATCCGCAAGAGCGCGCGGGATGAAATTTTGACAATTTTTTTTGAAAAACCATTGGTTTTTTGATGTTTTTATGTTAAAATCGCTACGAAAACTAAGGTTTTGGAAGGATTTCGTCTTGCGCGCGCGAATGTCCACTTTACCTTATTTTTTGCAAGGGATTCTTGAAGTTTGGTTATGTTAGAACAAGAAATGTCCACTTTAGCTTATTTTTTGCAAGGGAAAACCGATCGTAACAACACAACCGGATCCGGACCAACCCGTTTTGCCTGAGACTTCCTCACGGAAATGATGAAAATGAGGCTGCGGCCTAGGCGCGGCGGGGGGGTCGTGCACCAGGGGTCCCAACAATAATTATTCTTAAGAAGAAATAATGTTCAACAACAACAACTACACAGACAACAATAATAACAACCAATGAATCATGACCAAATGAGGGCAAGCGACCATCGACGACAACCCCGACGCAACCCGACCTAATTTTGACATCACCACGCCTCCAGCTGGAAACCAACACCACTCGATATTTCAATTTCAGGGCAGGCGCGCCTGCCCGCCAATCAACACGCCGACGAAAACGCCAACTTGAAGCCGCCGATGTTTCGCGATGGAGGCCATTTATATATTCACCGTGGCATTGATGCCCACTCGACCCCATCCTCGTCGTCCTCTCCCCCGCGATCCTGTTCCACGAGCTCGTCGTCCTCCTCCTCCTTCTCCGACGCCGACGCCGCCTCCTTCCCCTCCTTTTCCGTCTCCGCCTCCCACTCCTCCAGTTCCTCGTCGCCACCTAGCACTCCTTCTCTTCCTCTACCCCCCCTATCCCAACGCCGCTCCCACTTTGGCGCCCCCCTCACATCAACGCACGTGACCACACACCAAAACACGTCCGCAACCACCCCTGGACTTCGCAAACCGACGCACTTTTGTCGCGACGACGACAATGCGAAGCGCCCTAATTTTTAACATCTCCCGCAGCCCACCTTGACTGCCAATAACCACGCCCACACTTCATGCTCAAACAGACGCGCCCGTCAGCAAGCACGGACGCCGACAGCGGCGACGACGACGACAGCGACGAGGACGAGAAGGACATCGAGAAACAACAAAAATAACGACGGCGACGGCGACAACGACGCCCGGCAACCAGAGCGAACGCAAGGACGAACGACATTTGACGAGGTACGACGACGACGCAAGCCCCCCTCATTCGAGCATCGCCATGCCACCGGACACACAACAAAACCACCCCGAGACTTCATTCGCAAAGCAGACGAACCCGTCCCCCCGCATGGACGCTGACGCCCGCAACGACCGCGTCAGCGACGACGACGACGACGACGGCGACAAGGACGACGACGACAACAACGACAACGACAACGACGGCGACAACAACCGACGACTGGCGACCGACGAAAACCAAATGACCATGCACACCAATGACAACAAAAGCCGCCCTACTTTTGCCAACCCCATGCCCAGGGTTGACAACCAGAGCCACGCTGATATTTCCATTTTGAAGCAGACGCGCCCGTCCGCAAAAACAGCTGATGACGCGACGACGGCGACGGCGACGCCGACGACGACGAGGACAACGCGAACAACCGACAACGACAACAACGAAGGCACCGACAGCAGAGACATTTCGCGACCCCCGAATAACAAACAGCAACCCCGACGACGACAAAGACGCAAGCCGCCCCAATTAGTTCCAGCCCTCGCGCCTCGAGTTCATTGCCAGAGCCAATCCATGATTTCACTTCCACGGTGAACGCACCCGTCCGCGAGTAGGGCGCCGACAACGACAGACGATGACGACAAAAACGACGGCAACAACAACAACAGCAACCTTAACAAACACAACACCAACAACAACAACAACAACAACGACAACAAAAACAACAACAAAAACAACAACAACAACAGCAGCAACAACAACAACAACTACGACAACGCAGGCAACAATAACAACTGACGACTGGCGACCAAGAGAAGGCAAACGAACATCGACGACAACCCCGACGCATCCGACCGAATGTTGCCATTACCGTGCCGTGGGCTGACAACCATGACCACTCCGATATTTCAATTTTAAGGCAGACGCGCTTGCCGTCCGCGAATGCAGCTGATGACTTGACGACGGCGGAAAACGACGTCGACGACGAATAATACAACGCGAACAACCGACAACCACAACAACAATCGCAACGTCGACAACCGACGGGTCGCGGCCCATTGAAAACAAACGGCCATCGACGACGACGACGACGACAACGACGCAAACCGCCCAAACTTGTTAACACCATTGTGCTTCGGGCCCATTACCAATATCTCTCTCTGTGTCTCTCCCTCTCTCTCTCTCTCTCTCTCTTTCTTTTTCCCATCCCACCTTCCATTCCAAAGAACTCCACTATTCCGCGCCCGCAGAAATCCCGGCCTTCGCTCCGAACCAGATTTCCGGGCATGGCAAAGGCTTCTGGGCTCCACTCGGACTTCCGGGCTTCGCGAATCCCCCCCGAGCCGGGTTCCGAAGCCGGGCTTCGAGTCAAAAAAAACCGGGCTTGGAGCGCATTCCGGGGTGAACTTCTCTTTGGACGCACGAAGTAGGTACCGAAAAAATGGGCACAATCCAACAGCAAATGTTGTCCCAAACCAACAGCGGCCGCTGTTGGGCAGGCGGCCTCCGGTGATGAGTGGACACAGGCCGCGGCGGCGTGGACAGCGAGCCTTGTTCAAAATGAGCAAGATCCACTGTTGGGCATTGTACCCATTCTTTAGGGGGAAAAGAAACCTTCCTCGCTTTTGACCACCCTCGCTTCCAAGATATACCAAGCGATGCCAAACTACGGCCTGTACTGGTCAGGCCGCTTGACGAGGAGGCGCGTGGTATGGTTTGGTTTTGTCTGGAAGCGAAAACGGATAGGTAATTCACGCTCTGATTCTTTCAGTACCCATTTCGTACGTGCAGATCCTCGACCCGTGCCCGCCCCCCCGGCGGCCCGCTCCCGGGGCCGCGTTCGGCCGCTCGGCTGCCGCCCCAGCGGGCGTGCCGACGGGCGCCGGCCGGGCACGCGCTCCTCCTCTCGCTCCTCGTCGTCCTCCTCGCTCCTCCCTCCGCGGTCCTCCTCCTCGTCCTCCTCCTCCTCCTCCTCCACTTCGGTCCTGCTCCTGCTCCTGCTCCTGCTCCTGCTCCTGCTCCTCCTGCTCCTCCTGCTCCTCCTGCTCCTCCTGCTCCTCCTGCTCCTCCTCCTCCTCCTCCTCCTCCTCCTCCTCCTCCTCCTCCTCCTCCTCCTCCTCCTCTTCTTCATCCGCCCCCAGTGTTCCTCCTCCTCCTCCTCCAGCTGGCTGCGGCCTTCTCTTTATCGGCGTGTTTTTTTGGGCGTCTCCCTGGGGCCAGGCAGGAAAGGAGCAGGGAAGGACGAGGACGGCAGCAGCACGAGGAAGGATACGGGCCGAAGAACCAGAAAAGGATGCGATCGAGGAAGGGATGGAGGTGGGAGGAGGAACGACGAGCAAGTGCCCTGCCCTCTACACGAAGCGAAGACCCAACCACAGGGAACTAGATGATGTTCATGCGGTTTGCCCCGCCTATCCAATGTTCGGGCCTCGAACAGCCTCGGGAGTGCTTCAAAGAGCCAAAGCTTGCCCGACACGCCCATCAAGCCCACATGGTCGCCAAAAATGGGCCTGAGAGAACCCCAGCACAATTTGAGAGCCCCCCTGAAATTACTCACTGCGTGGAACTCCCCACATGCGCATCTCATGTTTTATGTCGTGCCATAGCGAGCGTCGGTTCATGAGCGCTTGACTATAATAGCGCGTCCACGTGGGCGACAGGGCCAACGAAGACGAGCGAATCCGAATGCGAGTGATTATGGGTCAGGGTAAGCTTTGAGTATGATAGAATCTGAGCCTTCCATTCATTCCCCCTCCTCAGCTGCCAGGCCGTGTCGTCCTCAGCCTGTGGTAGTGTGCATATGTCTTAGGATAGTTGGCAGTGGGATCTGTAAAACGAGCGCTTAGCCACACAAGGCCATATGTGCATATCATGTCGTAGGATAGTGCCACGGCAAGCATTTGTCCATGATAACTGTTTGCTGCACGAGCGCGTCCAAAGGACCAGCGCGCCTCGACTTCTTCCTCCGTGCGTCCCAAACGGTACGTGCCGGAGCACGACCCAAGGGACCAGCGCGCCTCGACTCCTTCCTCAGTGCGTCCCAGAGGGTACGTGCCGGAACACGACCCAAGGGACCAGCACGCCTCGACCTATTCCTCCGTGCGTCCCAGACGGTACGTGCCGGAGCATGACCAAGGGGACCAGCACGCCTCGACTCCTTCCTCCGTACGTCCCAGAGGGTACGTGCCGGAACACGACCCAAGGGACCAGCACGCCTCGACCTACTCCTCCGTGCGTCCCAGAGGGTACGTGCCGGAGCACGACCCAAGGGACCAATACCCCTCGACTCCTTCCTCCGTGCGTCCCAGAGCGTACGTGCAGGAGCACGACCTAAGAGACAAGCACTCCTCGACTCCTTCCTCCGTGCGTCCCAGAGGGCACGTGCCGGAGCACGACCCAAGGGACCAGCACGCATCCTCCCTCATCCTCTTCCTCCGTGCGTGCCTCCCCCTCCTTCTCCTCCTCCTCCTTGCGCCAGCCAACCGACTGGCAACCACAACCCCCAAGGAAACCCAGCGCGCAGGGGGTGCTGAAACCAGCGCCCAGCCTGAGATGTCCTCAAAACCTGCCGCGAAAGCAAAGGATGCTGGGCCACAGAAGAGGCAGACCGCCTGAGACATCTCCACAAACTGGCCGCGAACGGACCCGTGCAAACACTCCTGGCGGTGCTCCTTAGGGGTGCTGAAACCAGCGCCCCGCCTGAGACATCATCACAATCTGCTCTGAAAGCAAAAGATGGTGAGCACCGAAACAGGCAAACCGCTTGAGACATCCCCACAATCTGGCCGCGAACGGGCCCGTGCAAACACCCCTGGCGGCTCCCCTCAGGGATGCTGAAACCAGCGACTCGCCTGAGACATCCTCACAATCTGCTCTCCAAACGAAAGGTGTTGAGCATCGAAACAAGCAAACCGCCTGAGACATTTCTACAAAATGGCGGCGAACGGGCCCGTGCAAACACCCCTGGCGGCTCCCCTTTGGGGGTGCTGAAACCAGCGACCCGCATGAGACATCCTCACAACCTGCTCTCCAAGCGAAGGGTGTTGAGCACCGAAACAGGCAAACCGCCTGAGACATCCCCACAATCTGGCCGCGAACGGGCCCGTGCAAACACCCCTGGCGTCTCCCCTGTGGGGTGCTGAAACCAGCGCCCCGCCTGAGACATACTCACAATCTGCTCTCCAAGCGAAGGATGTTGAACACCGAAACAAGCAAACCGCCTGAGACATCCCCACAATCTGGCCGCGAACGGGCCCGTGCAAACACCCCTGGCGGCTCCCCTTAGGGGTGCTGAAACCAGCGCCCCGCCTGAGACATCCTCCAAATCTGATGTATGTTGAGTGAGTCAGACTATGAGTAGGTCTGAGTACGAGTAGGTCTGAGTATGAGTAAGTGTGTATGAGTCCGTATGGGTATGAGTAAGTCTGAGTATGAATAAGTCTGTGTATGAATAAGTCTGTGTATGTGCACGTCTGGGTATGAGTCTGAATATGAGTAAGTCTGTGTATGAGTAAATAAGAGTATGTGTGCGTCTGGGTAAGAGTAAGTATGGGTATGAGTAGGTCTCAGTATGAGTAAGTCTGTGTGTGAGTAAGTCTGGGCATGCGTAAGTCTGAGTACGCGTGAGTCCGAGTAGGAGGAGACGAGAAGAGGAGGGGACGAGAAGAGGAATGAGAAGGAGGAGTAGGAGACGTCCAAGTAATTACAAGAACCGCATCTTAGGAGATGGGGACAAACGAACGATGGCACCCGCAAGAACGAGAGGCCCAGGACCCGTCCAGACGGCCCCAAGAGCACATGCCACCGCCCCTACCAGCGGAAATGCTTTGCTCCGCAGTGCTTTCCTCGCCGCTCTTCCGCAGAGCGGTCGTTGGGACCTTTGCCTGAATCACACGGGGTCTGAGGGAAACCGGTCCTGGACCCTGGAACCCTCCCCAAAGATCAACTTTTCGCCCTGCACCGTTTTCAAACCATCCCGCCTGGGCTATCCTGGGCCATCAGGGTCCCAGGGACAGTGAGAGCCTAGGGGAGCCAAGAGCGGCGACGACACCTGGAGCCCTGTTCCCTCAGGACCCGTCTGCTTTATGGCGAATGCCAAAAAAGAGCGCCGCCCTAAACTGCATAGGGACAAGGACAGGCGACACCAACACCACCAGGGCGAGGAGGTGCGAGGAGCAAGGGGGGCCTCCCTGCTTCTGCGGCCCCCCCCCTCGCTCGAGACATCCCCAGGCTCCAGCTCGGGGAGGCATCGTGGACCCCCTCGGTGGAGATGACCCCCCTGGCGGTGTTGGCGTCGCACCTCCCCCCTCCGAACCGGACGCGCGAACATCCTCACTGCCTGCGCCAAAGCTGCCCCTCCCCGCAGCGCGGCCGCCCGCACTGCCGGGGCTGCCCTCCGCCGACGGGCCGGCGCCCTCGACAGCCGGGCCCTCCCGCGCCAGGACGCCCTCGGCATCGACGCCCACCGCCCTCGCAGGCACGCGCCGACGATCTAGAACGCCGCCGAGAGGGCCGCGGCTCCGACGAGCAGCCAAAGGCTGCCCCGCGCCTCGGCCCCCATCGCGCCGTCAACCTCGGCCTCTGGGGACGGCGCCTGCGAGAGGGGCAACGCTGGGGGGGGGACCGGCTCAGGGGGGGAAGCGTCGACCAGGAGTCGGCGACGCATCTCCGACGGATCGGCGATGGGCCCCCGAGGGCGAATCCGCACGCTCCTGGGCGGGACGAGCTATCGGGCCTGTCGGCGATCCATGGGTTGAGGGGGCCGGTGCATCCCCACCACGAGCCATCCCCCCCTGGCGTTGCCCCCGGAGCCCCGGTGGTGGTCTCGGCGCCCACGAGCTCCGGCGCCTCCAGCACCAGGGAGCCCGCCTCGAGCTGCAGGCCGCGGCTGGAGAGGGCCTGTGCCAGCGTCTGCGTCAGCGCGGCCGCGTCGGCGCTCATGTCTGCAGCGGCGAGGAAGATCGAGTCCAAGGCGTTGTGGTCCGCGGTCACGTTGTAGTCCACCTGCCACTCTGTGCTGGCCAGCCTTCGCTCCGAGTTGCCGGACCCCGCGGAGCTGGACACTGTCACCGCCAGCTGCTCGCTCGTTACACTCAACATGGTCAGCAGCGTCTCCGTCACCGCACCCAGGACCTGCTCCTGAGTCCCAGAGCTCCCAAAAACAAATCGATGCTGCAGGGTCGGCGTAGACGCTGCCGTGGGATTGTTTGAGTTGCAAGTGGCGCAGCAAGTGTAGGTCATGTACTCAAGAAACTCTGGGATGTCAGAATCACAGCCCGAAGAAATCCACCACACTGCTCTAAGCACTGAGTAAAGTGTCATGAAGTTCCTTCGAGTCTTCTGTATCGATAATTTAAAATGCCCCTGCAGAGGCCCAGACTCGCTCTGGGCGCTCTGGCACGCCCCTGGGCGCTCTCGGGGCGGCCGCGTGACTTTTTAAAGGCCTCGGCGGCGTGGTTGAAACTCCATACTTCCATCATGGCTCAAGAAGGTTTCAGGGTCCGTCGTGGAGCCCACCTAAGCGCTACTCGGGGCTGTCTTCGAGGGCCTGGGTGCCAGCCCAAGAAGCCCAAACCACTGACGCATATTGAAATGTTATGTGTTTGGACAAACTCTGTCGTTCGGTCTTACGAGGGCCCAGGACCGCTCAAGATGCCCCAAACGTTGCCACAACGTGGCTCCACAGAGGGACCAAGAGGCACCCAAAATGGCCCCAAGAGGAGCCAAACATGGAGAACTCGAGCAAACGTTTTCAGCCGATTACCCCAACAGAGGACCCGAGACTGCAAAGATGCCCCTTAAGAGGTCCCCCAGGCCAACACGAACAGGCCAGGAGGCCCACAGAGGACTAGATGCCTCAAAGCGGCTCCCAAGACGCACGCACGAGGCCTCCCAAGAGACCCCAGGATGCCTCGACGAGGCCTCATTCACACCTTCCCAGCATGGTGGCGGGATGGACCGAAGGCCCCTAGATGTTCGCACAACTTTGGGGGTCCACCACAGACGAGTCCCAGCCGTCCTCAGACTCATGCCAACCCCATCTGACAGCCTCGTCGAAATCTTCGCACGCGATTAACGACGCAGCGCACGATGCACAACAAATTGCACGTACCTCTTCTGCATGACACGCGGCACGTACCTCCCAATCCCCACAGCCTGTAACGCTATCGAAGCCCAACGCTGCAGCCAAAACAGTTACTACCGAATCCGCTGTGTCAGTGCACTCCCATGGGGTCGTCGTTACTGCGGCCGCCTTTGATGTCGCCGTGCTGGCTATGGTTGTTGCCGTCTCCGTGGTGATCGCGGCGGTCGCCGTTGCGGTGGCGGTCGCCGTGGTGGCAGTGGCGGTAGCGGTGGCCGTGGCGGTCTCTATGGTGGTCGCCGTGGTGGTACCAGTGATGGCGGTCCCGGTCTCCGTGGTGGTCGCCGTGACGGTCTCGGTGGTGGTCGCGGATGCCGTGGGTGCCAGGGTCGGTGCTGGCGTCATCCCTGGCGTGGGCGGCAGCGTTGGCGATGACGTCGGTGCTGGGGTTGGTGCTGAACTCGGCGCAGGCGTCGGCGCGGGCGTTGGCGCTGGCGTCGGCGCGGGCGTCGGCGCGGGCGTCGGCGCGGGCGTCGGCGCGGGCGTCGGCGCAGGCGTGGGTGATGGCGTAGGTGCTCCGGTCGGTGCGGACGTAGGCGCTGCCGTTGGGTTTGAATTGCAAGTGGCGCAGCAAGTGTAGTCCATGTACGAACGAATATCCGCGTCCGCAGAATCACAGCTCGAATACAGGTCCGAACAAGAGAGGGGGTTCACTACTGATGCGTCCCAGTTGAGATCAAAAAAATCATCATTCCACCCGTATGCGACAACCTCGTCTGGCAAGTCTTCGCAGGCGGCCAAAGATGCAGCGCACGTTGCGCAACAGAATGTACGTAAGGCTGAAATGTGGCACACGGCAAGTACATACTCATCCCCACAACTGCTGACGCCGTAAGATGCCCCAAGCACAGATATAGTGGAGTCCGGAAAGTCGGTGCAACCCTGCGTGTCACGGACAAGAGGGAGCAGGACGAACATTTTTAGCAGCAACGTGGTTCTCAACGATGGAGTCCCTGCAGCCACACCTCCGCTGGACCCCACGAACATCTCCGCGCTGCCCCTGCCTCGCCGGTGTGCTACTACGCCTCGGCATCAGGGAACACGGGTCTCAAGGGAAACGTGTCCTGGGCCACGGTGATTTTTCTTGGGCCCCTTTTGTTCCCACTGCACGGGTCGTTGTGTGACGGTTCCGTAGCCCAGGAGGGGGGCCACAATGCCAAAGGTGGCGAAGACATCAGTACCCCTCTGGCTCAACCCCATAATTCTCCACGGAGACTGACCCCCTCCTCCTCCTCCTCCTCCTCCTCCTCCTCCTCCTCCTCCTCCTCCTCCTCCTCCTCCTCCTCCTCCTCCTCCTCCCTCCTCCCCCTCCTCCTCCTCCTCCTCCTCCCCCTCACCCTCCTCCTCCTCCTCCTCCTCCTTCTCCTCCTCCTCCTCCTCTTCTTCCTCCTCCTCCTCCTCCTCCTCCTCCTCCTCCTCCTCCTCCTCCTCGGCGCGCAGTTTAGGGCAAACTGGCGCCGCCTTAGCAACCGCTCGCGCCGAAGTCCACGACGACGGCGCCCTCGAAGAGGTGGGTGCGACTTCTGGCGGCTGGTGCCCAGCTTGGGCCGTGGTCGCCGCAGCAGGAAGATGAGCAACGTGAAGGCAGGGACGTGAGGGAGGGCAGGATGGGTCCGCATCGAGTCGGGGAAGCCGCCTCGAATAGGACCGGGCGTCGGGTCGGGCTGCACTGGCAAGGGGTCGCAGTCAAAGCGAGTCGGCTGCGCCGGGATGCACCCGATCCGGGTCGCACCCGATCGTCTAGAAGAAGAAAAAACAGAAACAGAAACTTTTGGCGCCCCGCGCGGATTTCTGGGATGCGCGCTCGACCCCCCTCCCAGGCGGCACCGGAGGCGCCGCCTGGGTCGCGGAGCGGCAGAAGTTCATGTTTATGGCGTTTCGTCTTCTTCGATCTTCGAAACATCAGAATCGAACTGGGTCGGGTCGATATGGGCCCTGGAAGGAGGGCGGGGGGGATGGCAGGAGCAGAATGGGCCCGCCCGCACGTGCATAGTCGAGCACGGCGGCTCCACAGGCGCGAAGTCCGCATCGCAGGTGGCCGAACAACGAGAGCAGGCTGGCGTAGAATTCGCTGGCCCAACGGGCCAGAGGCGTGCTAAGATCTCCGGTAACTGCTCAACAATAGTTCTAGTTCGCGCGCGCGGGGCGGGCCCTGGGGGTCCCAGGGCGAAAAGTACCCCGGCAAGGTCCCGGCAAGGTCCCAGCAGACTCCCGGCAAGGTCCCTGCAGACTTCCGGCAAGGTCCCTTTTCGGAGCCCAGGGGGCTCCAAACGGTCCAAGAGAGGCCCGAGAAGCCCTCCAAACGGTCCAAAAGAGCCGGGAGACGCCGAAAAATCACTCCCAAACGCTTGCGATGGCCTCAAGACGGCCCAACAGGCCTTCAAGACGCCCCAAGAGGTCCCTAAGCGGCGCCCACAAGCAAAATTCGTCTCATTCCCTTAGGAAAGCGTGCATTTTTAACATATCCGCCTCTTCGTCTTTCACACCTTTCAAGGCGGTCCAAGAGGCCCCCAAAATCACCCCAAGACGGCCCGAGAGACCCTCAAAACCGCTCAAAGACGGCCCAAGAACGCTCCAAGAAGGCCCAAGAAACCCTCAAGAGTTTTTTTTCGGAGCCCAGGAGGGCTCCAAATCGGTCCAAGAGGGGCCCGAGAAACCCTCAAGACGGTCCGAGAGAGCCGGGAGACGCCGAAATATCACTCCCAAACGCCTACGATGGCCTCAAGACGGCCCAACAGGCCTTCAAGACGCCCCAAGAGGTCCCTAAGAGGTCCCTAAGCGGCGTCCCAAGAGGGCTCCCACAAGCAAAAATCGCCCCATTCCCTTAGGAAAGCGTGCATTTTTAACATATCCGCATCTTCGTCTTTCACACCTTTCAGGGCGGTCCAAGAGGCCCCCAAAATCACCCCAAGACGGCCCGAGAGACCCTCAAAACCGCTCAAAGACGGCCCAAGAGCGCTCCAAGAAGGCCCAAGGAACCCTCAAGACGGTCCAAGAGGCCCCGAGACGGCCCCATGCTTGAGGTCCACAGGGGCGACCTGAACGGAAATTTTGAGCCTCCCGCCCAAACACGCCCCCGAAATGCCCCTTACTACAAGCCCCCAAGTAGCCCCACGAAGCCCCCAGGAGAGCCCCAAGAGGCCCCCAACAGGCTGCAAGAAAGCTCCAAGAGGCCCCCAAGAGACCCCCAGGAAGCTCCCAGGAGGCCCCCAAGAGGCCAGGCAGACCCCCCCAAGAGACCACCAAGAGGGCCCACCCAGAGCCATCCACGAGGCCTCCCAAAGTTCCCAAGAAGCTCCCACGAAGCTTCCAGGGGCTCCCAAAACCCCCCAAGACCCCGCGATGGCACAATACGGGCCGGCGGAATGAGCGAAGCGATTCAATAGACACTTTTGCGTCGGCAGCGAGGCAATGGTCGTCTGCGCTAGCGGAAAGAGCTAGAACGGGGATGCCGTTGAAGCGAACTGTCCCACCATGCTTGGGGGAGGAGAAACAAAGGAGGCGGCCGAAAGAGGGGGACGGGTCGCTCAGGGGGACGGGTCACGCACCGAGCGAGTGGCGCGGCAAACTCAGCCGACGGGCCCGCGGCGGCTGCTGCACCAGGGGACCAGCAACGGCTGAGTAGAGTAGGAACACACGACAAGAAGGCCGCCCAGAAACGAGGCCCGGGCGAGATCGACCAGGCGCACGCTAACCTGGATTGGTGACTGGTGCTCCGTGGACGTGGCGCCTGGGCGCCAGCCCCCGTGGATCGGCGAAAATACGCTAGATTTCGTCTTAAAGTGAGGGGGGGTCACATTAGGGGGGGGGGGGTCTGATTTGAGGTGTCTTGGAGGGTTCGGGGGGATCTGGGCAATGGGCCGCCCTTTCATGGATGGCCTGGGGGGGTCTGCAATTTCTCGTCTGGGAGGGTTGTGACCCCCTCCCTTTTACTATGAACTCTGGAGTACCCTCGGAACCATGGGGCCGGCGCCGCCTCATGCGGCTGGTGCCAGGAACCCCGAACCAACATTCCCACCTCTTCCGCACGCTTCCGCTGGCCTTCCGCGGGCTTCCGCCGGCGAAGCCGCCCGCGCTCTGCATCCGCCGCCTCCCGCGGGCCTTCCGCCACCGCCCGCCATGGCAGAGAGGCCAACTCCTTCGACCCACGATGGCGAGGCCCGTTCTCGAACGCCTCCTCCTCCTCCTCCTCCTCCTCCTCCTCCTCCTCCTCCTCAGAGGAGGAGGAGGAGGAGGAGGAGGAGGAGGAGGAGGAGGAGGAGGAGGAGGAGGAGGAGGAGGAGGGGAGGAGGAGGAGGAGGAGGGGGAGGGGGAGGGGGAGGGGAGGAGGACAAGCTAGGTGCGCTCGCGTCATATCTGACATCCTCCCCCTCCCTCCCATCCCTTACCATGGCGCAGATCCCCTCTGTCCTCGCACAGTCGGATGTCGAGCAGGGCAATGATCCCGAAAGGGTACGCAATGCATTGTAGAGCACGGCATGGCATGGCGTAGAAGAACACCGCAAAGCGTAGTATCAACCGAGCATTGCATTGCATGCGGTGGCATGGCACGGGAAATGACGCCAGCGCTGCAGCGGGAGCACGAGTCGAAACGAGCGGAAGCGCGGAAATGAGGCCAGCGCTGCAGCGGGAGCACGATTCGGAACGAGCGGAAGCACGGAAATGAGGCCAGCGCTGCAGCGGGAGCACGATGCGGAACGAGCGGGCCCGAAAATTGAGGCCGGCGCCTCAGCGAGAGCAGCACGTTGAACAAAAATGCAGGCGAAAACCCAACTCCGGGGAAACCTGTAAAAAACAGTACGCGGGGGGGTCGGACACTCCCAGGCCGTCATCGGGGGAAGCGGGAGAGTAGTATTTATATTGAATAATTGTGGAGGAGGAGGAGGAGGAGGGGGACCAACGTAAACCCAAGAGTCACCAACGATGTCGGAATAAACCCGTCCTCCAAGCGCCCACTTCACAGGTCACTACAAGGGTTCATTTACACTGAGGGAACTGCCTCGCTGGAAGACAACCGTTTGACGAGCCTGACGCATGCCAAAACATCGTTCTCGGGATTCCAACGCCACGGATCAACCTGACTGTTGCGTCTTGACGATCCTGAATCGTACCAGGACGCCGTTTTTGGGACTTCGCCGCCGCGAACCAACGTAACTATTGCGCCCTCATAATCCTGAATCCTTCCGTAACACCATTTCTGGTACGTTGATCATGAGACTCCGTGAAAATCCTGCGAATGTTCAGACGACTGTGCTCGGCGCTAAGGCGAGAGCCACATTTTGAAAAGGAACCGCCTTCAATCCATTCAACTCTTGCAACGTGTTGGAACGAATTTGCGCGGCGCTAAGGCGAAAGCCACATTTGGAAAACGACCCGCCCTCAATCCGCGAAACTCTTGCAAATGTTTAAAACGAATGCTCGCGGCGCTAAGGCGAGAGCCACATTTTGAAAACCACCCGCCCTCCATTTGTGAAACTGTTGTCAGCTCTGGAGCTTCAGGGTCATGGGAAGACTCAGGCGCCGGAACGCACTAACAACTGGCCTCTGGGTGCGACTGGGGGAAGTTATTTCTAAGGAAAAGGAATGGAGGAGAACGAGGAGGAGGAGGAGGAGGAGGGGGAGGAGGGGGAGGAGGAGGAGGAGGAGGAGGAGGAGGAGGAGGAGGAGGAGGAGGAGGAGCGCGCTGATGCTGTATGATCACCGGACCCGTCGCTGATCCACGCGCCTTCATGCGCGTCCGCGCTTCCTCGAACCGTGCTGGAATGGGGGCGCGAAGGGATCCCCCAGCCGCCGCCGCCGCCGCCCGGAGGAAGGCCTCCGGGGGCCACTGTGGGCGGCGGGGGCGGAGGACTGGCCGGCGGACCGCGGCGACGACGGGGCGGCAGGCCACTGCGGCGAGCAAGCGAGAGGCCCGCGAGACTGCCGAAGCGCCGCGCGAGGCGAGGAACGCGCGAGTCGGCGACGAGCCGAAGCGGGCCTCACGCGAGATGCCATGGCGACCTGAAGCGGTGGCTCACGGGGGCCGCCAGGGCGTCACGCTACATTGCAAACGAGAAGCTCACGCGCGGCCGTGCGCGGGAAGCTTACGCGGGAATGTCTGTGCAGACGACCCCATGTTTCTGCGTCGATCACGTGGCGTTGGCCCCATCATGATCGCAGCCGCCAATCTCCCCAGACATGCGACGCCCTGATCCGTTCAGTGCGGGGCCCCTGGAAGCCCCGACCCCTCCCCCAGGACCAGTTCTTCACCCTAAGGCCAAGGCCCGACGAGAGCCCTCCTCCTCCTCCTCCTCCTCCTCCTCCTCCTCGTCCTCCTCCTCCTCCTCTTCCTCTTCCTCGTCCTCCTCCTCCTCCTCCTCCTCCTCCTCAAAGCCTCCCGTTCGGATTGTCTTACGACGCGATCTTGTCTGGGCCTGGGAGGACGGGGCACCGATCACCACAAGCTGCGGATGTCAGCGGGCGAAGTCCACGCGGGCGGCCTCGGCTCCCCCACTCTCCCGGGCACGCTGCCTCGCGCGTGCCCCGCTCCCTCCTCCCGAGGCTTCCTGGGCCGCGCTGCAGAAGGCCCAAGGGATGGCCCAAGAGGGCTTCTCAGGGGAACCCCCAACAGAGCAAGAAGAGGCCCAGACCACTGCTGTTCACTCGCCGTTCCAATGAGTTTCGTGTTCTCACCTTTTCGGGAATTCGTCAGCCCACGACGGCACGAGTGGCCTCCAAGAAGGCATCTTGACGGCAGAAGTGGGCTTCAAGACAGCCCGAGGGGCCCTCACGATGGGCCGACATGCCTCCAAGACAGCCCGAGAATGTCCCAAAATGGCTCATCATGCTGGGCCCATTTTCCACTCCACAACCATAGGCAGTAGAGGGGAGGAGGAGGAGGAGGAGGAGGAGGAGGAGGAGGAGGAGGAGGAGGAGGAGGAGGAGGAGGAGAAGGATGAGGAAGAGGAGGAGAAGGAGGGAGGAGGAGGCGGGGAGGAGGAGAGGAGGAGGAGGAGGAGGAGAACCTCCTCATCCTCCCTTCTCCCCTGGCCTATGTCTGGTAGTGGTGGTGAACATGTGCTCATCACAGGAGACCCCCGAAAGACGACCCTTCCTGGCCCGAAGGGGGCTCCAAGACGGCCTACGGAGGCCTCAAACTGGCCGAGGGCGCCAGGCTGCCCGGGAGCGCCCCAGGACGGCGCCATTAGAGCCGCACGGTCCCCCAGAGGCCCCCACGACACCCTCGAGAGGCAGCCTCCTCCTCCTCCTCCTCCTCCTCCTCCTCCTCCTCCTCCTCCAGCACAGAAGACCCCCAAAAAGACCCCAAGAGAGGAGGAGTGAGGAAGAGGAAGGGAGGACGACGACGCCGAGCGCGAGGAGAGACGCCCCGACACGACGCGGAAGACGTCGCCACATTGCACGGCACTCCCACGCCTCAGGACAAGAGGTGCTACACGCTACTGCGTAAGGCTTCCTGCGCTCGACTGGAAACGTCGCCACCCAGAGTACTGGGCTAGATCGTTGGTGGGAGTTGCCGCAGGCAGCTGCACCTGGAGCAATCATTGTAGCAACCTCCTCGGCATGAAGATAGCCTTCGTCATCACCGTCATGATCAGCAGCAACATCAGCGCCGGCACCATCATAACAACCCCAATCGTCATCAGCATCGTCGTACTAACCACGATAGTCATCGTAATCAACACTCGCGAGTGCCACAGCTACAAGGGGATTCATAACATCAACCATAAACAACGCACGCTTATCTAACCAGAGTCGGAAAGACTGCCTGAGCGCCAGAGCTCCGACACAACACATGGAGCGGATGAGGCGGAGGAGGAAGGGAAGACAAGAATTCCCCGCACAGGGGCGCGAGCAAGGGACGGGTGGCCTGCGGATGTTTCTCGTCTTAATCGCATTGCGGAGCCCGAATACCTCTCCACCTGGCCACACACACACACAGAACAGGGCACTCAACGGAGCCCGTGCGGGAGACACGAATCGAACAGCGTTGACACCACGTGGAAATGCAAGGAAACAAACTTGGAGCCTCGGCACCTTCGTGGACCCATAGGGACATGCAATGCAGCTGTCATATCATTACGTGAGAGATGGAGAGGGAGAGAGAGAGTGAGAGAGAGAGAGAGCGTGCAAAGATACGTAGGACCGTGCATGGATGTGTGACAATAAAGCATCGGAACACGCAGGGTGACACATCGTAGTAGACACACGTATGGATGCCGAAGACCACTGGAGATGAGAGCGCCTGCAGAAATTCGCCGGCCCAACGGGCCAGAGGCGTGCTAAGATCTCCGGTGACAAGTTAGCAATATAACAAGTTCGCGCGCGCGAGGCGGCCCCGGGGGGCCCGACGCGACAGCCCCGCCAAGGTCCCGGCAAACCCCCGGCAAGTGCCCGTCAGAGATGCCGGAGGCTCCCCAGACTTCCCAGGAGGCGCCCAAGACGACCTCAAGAGAGCGCCCAGACGGTCCAAGAGCCCTTGGGGTCCTCGAAATATCGGCCGACGGCCCAAAAAGACGGTCCAAGGGGCCCCGAGTCGCCGAAAGATTGATGCAAGACGCCCATGATGGTTTCCAGACGGCCCTAGACGCCGCCGAGAAGCTCCAAGAGAGCCTCAAGACGCCCTCCAAGAGGGCCCCAACAAGCAACAATCGTCCCATTTCTCATGGAAAACGCACATTTCTGGCAAAGACGACGTTCGGAGGTTCACAGCGTCCGAGACTGACCAAGAGCCCCCAAAGATCGCCCCGAGATGGCCCAACATGCCCCAAAGGTGCGCCCAAGAGGGACCAAGAGAGCTCCAAGACGGCCCAAGATGGCTTCAAAACAGCCCAAGAAGCGCCCAAGACGGCCACAGAGAGCCACAAAACAGCCCCAAGAGGGGCCCAAGAAGAGGACCAGGAACCGAAAAGTCCAAGTCCAGGTGTCAGCCCCAAAAGGCCCCCAGGAGGCCCTAAGAGGCCCCCAAGAGGCCCCAGGGAGCGCCCAAGAGGCACTCCAAGAAGCCCGAAAAGGCCACCAAGAGGCCCCAACACGTCCCCAAGAGGCCTCAAAAGAGGGCGCGCCGCTAGATCACCCAAAGAGGGGGGAGGTCCGGGACCCCCCCCCTTTCCCCGATCCGTCGTCGGCGGACCCCCCCCCCCCTTCCCGCTCAATCGTCGGCGTACCCCCTTCTGCCCCCCCCCACCCTTTCCCGATCACTCGCCGGCGGACCCCCCCCGTCCTTTTCAAAGTGGGGGGGGTCCGAATCCCCCCCCCGTCCCTTTTGAGTGTGAAATTTGGACCCCCGTACCACACCTAACCCTCAACCTGATCCCTGCCCTAACCCCTAACCCCTAACCCAACCCCCCACTCCTAACCCTAACCCCTACCCTACGCCTAGCCTTAACCTCTACCCAAACCCCTGCCCCAACCTCTAATTCAAACCCTAATCCCCACCCTAACCCCTACCCTAAGCCCTTACCCCAAATCACTGTTCCCTATTAATAAACACCCCCTCCCCCAAGCGACTGGGGGCCAACCCGGGTCCATGCCGACACCCCCCCCACTATCGTTGGTAAAAAATACCATGTGACGTACCCAACCCATTTGTATCATGGGAAACGAAGAGTTGGCCGAAACTTGCATGGACAATCAAATTGCAGGATCCGTTGTTTGATATGTAAAGTACTTGGGACACGCGCCTATGGCATGATGCGCAGGATAACCATACAAGAACGAGGGGCGACAACTACAGGCTCGAAGAGGCCGTGGGGAGTCGGGAACGAAGAGCAGGAGGAAAACGTGCGGGAAGCCCACTGTGCTGGGCCCCCCCAGGCAGGCCTCGAAAGTGGCGACAGTTTCACAGATCGCAGCCCCCCAGGGATGGCGAGGACTCATTTGAATCCGCCGTGTGTACCCACTGTGCTGGGTCCCCCAGCAGGCCTCGAAAGTGGCGACAGTTTCACACATCGCAGCCCCCCAGGGATGGCGAGGTCCCATTTGAATCCGCCGTGTGTACCCACTGCGCTGAGCCAGCCCCCCAGGAGGCCTCGAAAGTGGCGACAGTTTCACAGATCGCAGCCCCCCAGGGATGGCGAGGTCCAGTTTGACTCCGTCGTGTGTACCCACTTTGCTGGGCGCCCCAGCAGCCTTCGAAAGTGGCGACAGTTTCACAGATCGCAGCCCCCCAGGGATGGCGAGGTCCCATGTGAGTCCGCGGTGTGTACCCACTGTGCTGGGCCCCCCAGCAGGCCTCGAAAGTGGCGACAGTTTCACAGATCGCAGCCCCCCAGGGACGGCGAGGTGTAATTTCAGTCTGCGGTGTGTACCCACTGTGCTGGCCCCCCCAGCAGGCCTCGAAAGAGGCGACATTTTCACAGATCGCAACCCCCGAGGGATGGCGAGGTGAAATTTGAACCCGCGGCGACTACCCACTGTGCTGGGCCCCCCAGCAGGCCTCGAAAGTGGCGACAGTTTCACAGATCGCAGCCCCCCAGGGATGGCGAGGTCCCATGTGAATCCGCCGTGTGTACCCACTGTGCTGGGCCCCCCCAGCAGGCCTCGAAAGTGGAGACAGTTTCACATATCGCGGAACACCCAGAGACGGCGAGGTCTAATTTGAGTCCGCCGTGTGTACCCAATGTGCTGGGCCCCCAGCAGGCCTCGAACGTGGCGACAGTTTCACAAATCGCAGCCCCCCAGGGATGGCGAGGTCGAATTTGAGTCCGCGGTGGGTACCCAGTGTGCTGGAAGTGGCGACAGCTTCACAAATCACAGCCCCCACGGGGTGGCGAGGTCTAATTTCAGTCCACGGTGTGTACCCACTGTGCTGGGCCCCCCAGCAGGCCTCGAAAGTGGCGACAGTCTCACAGATCGCAGCCCCCCAGGGACGGCGAGGACTCATTTGAGTCCGCCGTGTGTGCCCACTGCGCGGGGCCCCCCAGCAGCCCTCGAATGTGGCGACAGTTTCACAGATCGCAGCCCCCAGGGATGGCGAGGTCCCATGTGATTCCGCCGTGGGTACCCACTGTGCTGGGCCCCCGAGCAGGCCTCGAAAGTGGAGACAGTTTCACATATCGCAGCCCCCCAGAGATGGCGAGGTCCCATGTGAGTCCGCCGTGTGTACCCACTGTGCTGGCCCCCCCAGCAGGCCTCGAAAGTGACGACAGTTTCACAGATCGCAGCCCCCCAGGGATGGCGAGGTCTAATTTGAATCCGCCGTGTGTACCCACTGTGCTGGGCCCCCCCAGCAGGCCTCGAAAGTGGAGACAGTTTCACATATCGCAGGACACCCAGAGACGGCGAGGTCTAATTTGAGTCCGCCGTGTGTACCCAATGTGCTGGGCCCCCCAGCAGGCCTCGAACGTGGCGACAATTTCACAAATCGCAGCCCCCCAGGGATGGCGAGGTCCCATTTGAGTCCGCCGTGTGTGCCCATTGTGCTGTGCCCCCCAGCAGGCCCCGAAAGTGGCGACAGTTTCACAGATCGCAGCCCCCCAATGGTGGCGAGGTTTAATTTGAGTCCGCCGTGTGTACCCACTGTGCTGGGCCCCCCGGCAGGCCTCGAAAGTGGCGACAGTCTCACAGATCGCAGCCCCCCAGGGATGGCGATGTTGCATTTGAGCCCGCCGTGTGTACCCACTGCGCGGGGCCCCCCAGCAGCCCTCGAAAGTGGCGTCAGTTTCACAGACCGCAGCCCCCCAGGGATGGCGAGGCCCCATTTGAGTCAGCCGTGTGTACCCACTGTGCTGGGCCCCCCAGCAGCCATTGAAATTGGCGACAGTTTCACAGATCGCAACCCCCCCAGGGATGGCGATGTCCAATTTGAGTCCGCCGTGTGTGCCCACTGTGCTGGGCCCCCCAGCAGGCCTCGAAGGTGGCGACAGTCTCACAGATCGCAGCCCCCCAGGGATGGCGAGGTCCCATTTGAGCCCGCCGTGTGTACCCACTGTGCTGGGCCCCCCAGCAGCCCTTCGAAAGTGGCGGCAATTTCACAGATCGCAGCCCCCCAGCTGACACGCAGCGACGAGCGAGGTAAACGGCATGGGGGAAGAGAGGGGCGGGAAGGAAGGAAGTAATGGAGAGAGGCGCGCGAGCAGTGCTCTACTCAAAACGAGAGCCCAACGCGGGAGGGTTGGGGACAATACAAAACACACGCTGGCTCCAAATTCGGAACATGCGCAGCCAACCCGATGCGGCCCAAAAAAACAATACAGAGTACACTTGGCGGCGGCGGCGGCTGCGGCGGCTGCGGCGGCGGCGGCGGCGGCGGCGGCGGGGGCGGCGGCTGCGGCGGCTGCGGCTGCGGCGGCGGCGGCGGCGGTGGCGGCAGCGGCTGCGGCTGCGGCTGCGGCGGCGGTTTGGCAGCGGGGGCGGCGGCGGCGGCGGCGGCGGCGGGGGCGGCGGCGGCGGCGGCGGCGGCGGCGGCGCGGCGGCGGGCGGCGGCGCGGCGGGGGCGGCGGCGGCGGGCAGCGGCGGCGGCGGCGGCGGCGGCGGCAGCGGCGGCGGAGGCAGCGGCGGCGGCGGCGGATTGGCACCCAGTAGCTCCCCATCCCAAGACGACTGCTAAATATGCTGAGGTTCGGGCCAGACTCGGGTGCTACGTATGTGTTGGGAGGGCGGGTGGGAGTGAGCGAGACGGCTTGCGGGCGGGGAGGGGGTAACTTGACCTTAGCCCCTACCCTAACCCCTAAGCCCCCCTAACCCCTAACCCGAACCCTACCCCTTACCCCTAACCCTGGCCCCTAACCCTAACCCTAATCCCTGCCCCTAACCCTAAGACTCGGTCCTAATGTTTAACCCTACTATAACCCCTAACCCTGACGCTAAGCCCTAGTCCTTACCCTAAGCCCCAATCCAACCCCCTAAACCCTAACCCTAACCCTCAACCGTGCCCTAACCCCTACCCTAACCCCTAACCTTAACCGTAATATTTACCCTAAACCCTAAACCTACCATAACCCCTAACCCCTGCCCCCACCCCTAACCCTGATCCAAATCCTTAACCCCAACCCTATACCCTAACCCCAAAACTCTACCCTAACCCCTAACCGTAACCCTAATCCCTAAGCTTAACCCTAAGCCCTAACCCTGACCCCTCAACCCGACCGTAACCCCTACCCTAACCCTAACCTCTACCCTAACCCTCACCCCAACCTCCAAAACTAACCTCCAACCTAAACCTTAAATCGGACCTAACCCCTGATCCTAACCCTAACCCCTACCCGAACCCTAGCCTAACCTCAACCCTAAACCCTAAACCCTCACCCCTAACCCTAACCCTAACCCTAACCCCTAACCTTGTGCCTGAACCGTAACCCGAACCCCTAATCCCAACCCTAACTCCTACCCGAACCCTGACACCTACCCTTAACCCCTACCCTAATCCTAAACCCTAACCCTTACCCCGACCCTAAATCCTAACCCCCTAACCCCTAACCCTAACCCCTACCCTAACCCTAACCCCTACCTCAACCCTAACCCCTAACCCCGAATACCCTCACCCTAACCCTAACCCCTGCCTTAAACCCGAACCCTACCCGTTACGCCTAACCCTAGCCCCTAACCGTAAGCTTAACCCCTGACCCTAACCCTAATAACTAACCCTAACCCCTAAACCCTACCTTAACCCGTAACCCTGACCCTAATCCCTAACCCTTACCCTGAGCTCTAACCCCGAAGCCCTAACGCTACACCCCAGCCCTTCCCGAACCCCTACCCTAACCTCTAACCTTAACCCTAAGACCTACCCTAAACCTCAACCATAACCTTACCTCTAACCCCTAGCCCCACCCCTAACCCTGACCCTAATCCCTAACCCCAACCCTATGCCCTAACCCAACCCCTAAACCCAACCCAAACCCCTAACCCTAATCACCCTAATCTCTGATATTAACCCTAAGCCCTAACCCTAACCCTAACCCCTACCCTAACCCTAACCCTAACCCTAGCCTCTACCCTAACCACCACCTGAACCCCAGCCTCCAGCGCTCCGGAGCGGAGAGAGAGCCTCCCCACCTGCCCCATCCCCCTTGCCCGCGAGGGGGGGGTCCCAAATCGCCCCTCCCCCCGTATCCAGCGCCAAAGGGGGAGGGGGGGATGGGGGGGGGTCCGCAACCTGGGGGGGGGGGGGTTCTGGGAGCCCCCCCCTTTTAAATTACGAGGTGATCCACTGGCGCTCTTTCTCAAAACTGCCTCCCAAAGGCCAAGGCCAACCACGTCCGTGACCAACAACACACACCGTGAGGTCTCTGACCCGCAACCCACCGCCTCCGAAAAATGGCAACCGCCCAACCGCATCGCATTGACAACAGCACCCCGAGAACCGACATCGGCGAGGCAATATGGGCCGGCGGAATGAGCGAAGCGGTTAAATTATGCTAGTGTAGAACCCATGACGCTCATGATACCAATTGCACCAATGAAGGTGACTGTTGATCATGCTGACGATGATGCTGATGCTGATGCTGATGCTGATGCTGGTGATGATGATGATGATGATGATGATGATGATGATGCTGATGATGATGATGATGATGATGATGATGATGATGATGATGATGATGATGATGATGATGGTGATGACGATGATTATATGTGTGCCAATGAAGATAATGAGCACGGGATGTTGGTCGATCTTGAAATGTGCTACTTTCCTCTGCTCTTACTGCTAAGCACAACTGTGCACCACAGGACGCCATTATATTCGATGTTGTTCGGTCAAGCTCTGCTCTGGCCTATGGTATTGCAATCCACTCTCATCTATCCTGTTCTACTGTACCTACCCTGCCATATAGGGACATAGGAACACCGATGGAGCACCCCGACGAATCCACTGGAACAACTATAGCAATCCAGTGGAATACCTGTATTATCTCGTTCCAGTGCATTTAGGGATCTACAGGAACATAAATGGAGACCGTTAGACTGCCCACATGAATACTTTGAAATACCCATCGGGGTCAGTAGAAACAGCCAGAGGTGCACTACGCATACCCAAGATCGTGCTAGTAAAGCTTGGGTTCGGGGCAGTCCCAACTGCAGCATCCTACCAACATTATGCGAACGCAGATGCGCAATGGGCCAACCAATTTGCATACAAATAGCGTGAATAAAGCAATGCGCTCGAGAACATTGATTCCCCCTGTCCTCCCAGCCATCTGCGACCGGGCTTACCCCCACCCCGCCCTACCCCAGAAATGCAAGGGTCTGAGCGTCGTCCGCGCAAATAAACTCAGGCCCTCCTCGTTGGTGCCAGAAGGGCGTCGATCATGACAAACAAGAGCAATGGAATGCACGGGGTGATGGCTTGTGATTGGCAACCGATGCCCCACAGAGGCGGAAGAGGTCCGTCCATGGGCGGCTCCCTGGGACAACACCAAGAGGCACACAGGACGGCTCCAGGGCGCCCCAGAGATGGTCCGAGCAAGATGCTCCCGACACGGCGCAGGAGGGCCCCAAGAGGCTCTCAATATTCCACCCCGGACGCTGCCGACAGGCCCCTCCGCAGAGGCCCCGCAGGGGAGGCCTCGGGAACGGCCGAGCAGCGCTCAGAGTCCCCCACGAACGCAACCAGAAGAACGTCACGAGAGCCTCGAAGAACCCTCAATGAGAATGCAAGACTGCCTCCCGTGATCTATGTGGCATGGTTCTCTCCAATACTGCTCCCTCTGTTCTTCATCTGGCTCATCCCACCTCCATTCGACCACAACATACCAGGCAATAACGCACAACGGCCGACAATACGAGGCAATACTTGACCAGACCGCGCTCAGGCGGGCCAGACCAAGCAGACCACAAAAGACTTGACCAGAATAGGCGGCCTGAACGTCCTCGGTAAGCGAAAGTGTGGGCTCGACTGATGTCGTTCCCATCCTACGTTGATGCGCGCTTGTATCAGTGACCAGATCTCCTGTCTCTGCATCAACTTCTTAACCTCCTCAAGTCCCCGTAGGAAGTGTGTTCCGCGTCGTTAAACGCCACGTAGGCCATCGGGGCCGCTCCTAGCAGAAACTGGCTGCCGTCTTGGACCTGCAAAAACACTTCCCGCGAGACGACCCTCTCACCCATGGACCGGCCAGCTATCTCCCCGACTGGTCGTCCAGGACTGCCCATTCTACGTGGCGTCACAACGGCGCACCGAGCTGATGCAGCATCTGCGTCCTAGCACCGTGATGTTCCTGGCCTACGCTGCCGCCGAGGCCCCCTCTCTGGAGCGCCAGCGATCACGGGGGCTCACCCAGCCTCAGTCAAAGCGCTGGAACGACGATTCACAGTCCAGCCCATGGGACAGAGCAGAGGAGGAAGAATAAGGAAGAACCTTGGATACGCCCCCTGGCGTCCCCTTCCCGCCGAAGAGCCAGGCGAGGTTTGCGCAGAACCAGAGGTCGGCGAAGACCGTGAGCCAATGCCTCCACACCTGCGACGGGATACATCACGATCCCTTGTCCCCCACATTGGCCAGAAGAAAAAGGCAGAGGAAAGTAACAAGTGCAGAAACCGAATCTATGGGAGGTCGGGGCGAGTCTCTTGGATCGGCTGCAGGGCCAGCCCACTCGGAGCCTCCCGCGCCCGAGGGGGATCCAGCGAAGTAAACAAAAGCCGCGCGACCAACCAAAACATGATGTTCAGGCAATTGGTGCTGTTTGTGTTGTTGTAGAGCTCGCATTGCTAAAGAAGAATTGCTGTTGGCCCCCAGTTTCCGGGAACCGTTGCATTGTTCCATGAAGGTGTTTCCCCCGAGGCCCGCGCCTTTTGAGGATCACCTACCTGCGTTGTTGGGCCACGAACTACAACAAAAACGGCTACCGCCTGATACTTCCTCAGCAGGTATTCTCACATCGCACTATCGCGCGGGACTTCCTCACAGTGTATGCATGGAGCGCGCTCTCGAGTTGGAATTCTTCGCGATATAATCAAACGCCGCGCCGTCGACACTCAGGACTGAGGCTCTCGCTGTAGAGCTCTTCGCGACTTCTTTGGGAATCGCGCTACACCGGACTCACTTCTATAGCGCTCACTTCTATAGTGCTCACTTTGAAATTGTGGTCCGGAAGGGGCCGCACATGCAGGCACATGCCGCACAGTCGCATGCACATGCCCATGCAAATATACAAAAGCCTCAACAGCATTGCCGCACATGCGCGCACATGCCACACCGTCCGACGCACAGTCGAATGCACGGTCAAGCAAAACTCTGAAAGCATAGACGCACATGCCCGCACATGCCGCAGAGATGTCGCAGGCGATAGTGGCCTGACCACCTGAGCTCGGGGCATTTCGCAACCCAGAGTTCCGAGGATGTCTCAGGCAAGCGTGGCCGGATCACCATGGGGCAGGGCATCTTGGAAACCAGAGTGGCGAGGATGTCGCTGGTCAAGGTGACCAGACGACCATGGGGCAGGACACCTCCGAGGTCTGAGTTGTGAGGATGTCTCAAGCGAAAGTGGCCTGACCACCATGGGGCAGGAGATCTCTGAGGTCAGAGTTGCGAGGATGTCTCTGGGGAGAGTGGTCTGACCACCTCAGCCCAGGGCATCTCGGAGCCCAGAGTTGCGAGGATGTCTCAGGCAGGACTGGCCTGACCACCTGCTCAGGGCATCTCAGAACCCAGAGTTGCGAGGGTCTCAGGCGAAAAAGGCCGAGACACTATGGAGCAGGGCATCATTGAGGTCAGAGTTGCGAGGATGTCTCAGGCAAAAGTGGCCTGAACAGCTCAACTCAGGGCATCTCGGGCGAGGATGTCTAAAGCGAAAGTGGTCTAACCACCTCAACTCAGGGCGTCTCGGAACCCAGAGTTCCGAGGATGTCTCAGGCGAAAGGGGCCGAGACACTATCGAGCAGGGCATCATTGAGATCAGGGTTGCGAGGATGTCTCAGGCGACAGTGGCTGACCACCTCAGCTAGGGGCATATCGGAATCGAGACTTGCGAGGATGTCTCAGGCGACCGTGGCCTGACCAGCATGGGGCAGGAGATCTCTGAGGTCAGAGTTGCGAGGATGTCTCATGCGAAAGTGGTCTAACCACCTCAGCTCAGGGCGTCTCGAAACCCAGAGTCCCGAGGATGTCTCAAGCGAAAGTGGCCGGGCCACCATGGGGCAGGGCATCTCCGAGACCAGAGTTGCGAGGATGTCTCAGGCGAAGGTGGCCAGATCACTTCATGTCAAAGCACGTCGGCCTCCAAATTGCCGACGACGTCTCACGCGGAACTGGCCGGACGCGAACGCGCCGGCGTCCGGAGACGAACGCCGGCCCCGGCATTCTTGCACGTCCCGCACATGCACTGCACAGGTACGCACAGTATTCGCACAGGCCGAGCTCGCCGGTGGCCGAGCCAGGCCAGCGATTCCGAGATTCCCTGAGCTCGGGCCGTCAAGCCACTTTCGCCTGAGACAGCCTCGCAACTCTCACCTCCTCCTCCTCCTCCTCCTCCTCCTCCTCCTCCTCCTCCTCCTTCTCCTCTGGCCGAGCCGAACAGGCAGGCTGGCCAGTGGCCGGGGGCGCCCGCCTCCTCCGCCCCCCCCTCCTCCCCCCCCCTCCACCTCCCCCCCCCCCATCCCTGCTTCTCCGGCCGAGCTGAGAAGGCGCGCGGGAGAGTATTTTATTAGGCGGGCGCGCCACCGCCAGCTCACGAACCGGGCGAATAACCGCCCCCGCCAGCAGCGGGCGAGTCTAAACGCACAACAAACTCTTTCAGGAAACCCTGGCACGCCCCAGGTTAGCTCTGCGAAGGCCAGGAGGCATTGGAGGCACAGGGGTCCCAGACAGCTCCTAGGGCATGAGCGTGCATGTGCATTGGGATGTGCACGCATGTGCGCCCGCGCGCTTCACCGCATGTGCGTGCATGTGCGGGCCCGCGCGGCCTCCCGAAGAGAGGTTGCACAGGCATGTGCGTGCATGTGCCGATGACAGATCTGCGATTCTCGAACACCTCCCGCATGTGCAGGCATGTGCGCGCATGTGCGTCGGACTGTGCGTGCATGTGCGTATGATGGATACATCAAAACACAACGCACATGCCCCCGCACATGCCCGGGCACGACGTGCACAGTAGGAAGTCCATCCAAAAAGGACCGCACAGGCCTGGCACATGACTGGCACATGCCGCGCACATGCGCGCACATGACAGCGCAAAAACGGCCGCACATACACCCACCCAGGGGTATAGATGTGAGTGCGGTGTACTCTTTCGAGACTTCATCGCGATTCATGCGCGACTCACGCTTCAGCAAGCCGCCTGTGGCCCCCTCGTCGCGCTCCGTGGCCCCGTTGCAGCCCTTCGTGGCCCCCTCGCTGTCTCCCGTGGCCCCCTCGCACCCCTTCGCGGGCCCCTCGCTGCCCTTCGTGGCCCCGTTGCAGCCTTTCGTGGCCCCCTCGCTGCCCTCCGTGGCCCTGTTGCGGCCCTTCGTGGCCCCCTCGCTGCCCTTCGTGGCCCCGTGGCAACCTTTCGTGACCCCCCCGCTGCCTTTCATGGCCCCGTTGCAGCCCTTCGTGGCCCCCTCGCTGCCGTTCCCCTCGTTGCGCTTCGTGGCCCCGTTGCAACCCTTCGTGCCCCCGTCGCTGCCCTTCGTGGTCCATCTATGTATGCCCTTCGTGGCCCCCGTTCGTTCGCGTAAGCCGCGTGCCCGTATGCATGCCTTTGGCGGCCCCGCTGTCGCACTTCGTGGCCACCTCGCTGCATTTCGTGGCCCCGCTGCTGCCCTCAATGGCCCCGTCCTTGCCCACTGCGGCCCGATATGCGCATGCCCTTCGTGGTCCCCGCTCGTTCGCGCCCGTCGCGGCCAAACATGCATGCCCCTGGCAGCCCTTGGTGGCCCCGCTGTCGCCCTTTGTGGCCCCCTCTTTGTTCTACGTGGCCCCGTTGCTACCCTTAGTGGCCCCGTCCTTGCCCTCTGTGGCCCCGCATTATCTGCTTTTCGTGGCGCGCGCTCGTTAACGCCATTCGAGGCCCCCTACGCATGCCTTTCGTGGCCCAGCTGTCGCCCTGCGTGGCCCCCTTGCTGCCCTTCGTGGCCTCGCTGTCGCTGTCGCTGTCGCTCTCGCTTTCGCTTTCGCTCGTCGTCGTCGTCGTCGTATTCGCCGTCGTCATCGTCGTCGTCGTCGTAGTCAGTCCCCTGTCCGCCCCTCTCGGGACCGGGCTGCCGCCGATCAGCGCTGCCGCTGGCCAGGCCGACGGTCCGCGGCCGCCCCGCCGCTTGCCGGGGCCCGTCCTGCAGGGAAGAAAAGTAATCCCCCCCCAAAAAAGGTACGATCGAACAAGAACAGTGAGGGTATTGAGCGTCTGGGGAATACACGTTGAATGACACTCGAGCAAAAAAGAGCGAACAGTCTTAATGTTTGTATTGTTGTTGTTCCTGTTGCTGAGCTGTCACTACTCGAGAAAAACTATTGCTGATCGCCTCCCTCCGGAGTACATTATTGAAAAGCCCGTCTCGGGGCTCGCATTCTGTCTCTCATCCGGCAAATTCTTGGATGTCGGAATTGGCTGGTTTGCCCCCGGTGTTCAACAACACCGGCTCCCGCCTGATACTTCCCCACAACTTATGGCCAAATCGTGCTCTCGCGCGGGAATTCTTCACAGTGTATCCAGAAATCGCGCGTGGAATTCCTTAAAATGTATTCAGACGCCGCGCCCTCGACACTCAGGAATCACGCTCGCGCTGTGGATTTCCTTATGATTTACTTGGAAATCGCTCTGTCGCTCGAGACTTCCTGGCGATTCCTGGTGGACGCACGCTTCAGCAACCCGCCTGCTCGATCTGGCCGCCAAGGCCCGCCTTCCCGACCCGCCTGTTAGGGTCTACTCGCCCGATCTGCGCGTCTGGTTCTGCAACGTGTTTTCTGCTCGTAGCCCCCTCCTGCTACTCTCCATCGTGATCCATTATCCGCCCTACCCCTTGTCCTTTCCTTCCATCAATCCTCTCTTCCCCTGCGTTACGGGCTGCACGAAATACACCTTGCGGGTAAGAAAGATATCCCCCCCAAGGGGTACGACCGAAGACGAAGAGGGCGGGTATCGGGGGTTTGGGATACACGTGTTGAGTGGCACGTGCGCGTGCAAGAGCGAGCAATCCGAACATTAGTAGTGATGTGTTTCCTGTTGTTGATACTGTTGAGTTCTCCTTCTTTAAGAACAAATATTGTTGATCTCCCCCGCAGGTGAACATGGTGCTTGTTCAATTGAAGTTCCCCAATCGGTGCTCGGACTCTGTTCTTCTATTAAGGAAGATCGTCCTGCTCAAACTGCGCGGTTGGGCACCGAACTCTAACAACAACGACTCACTCCTGGTACTTCCTCGCCATGGATTAAAACATCCGGCTCTCGCGTAGGACTTCCGCACAACGTACGCAGGAATCGCGCTCTCGCGTGGGACAGCCTCGCAATTTATTCAAACGACGCGCCATCAGCACTCAGGAATAACGCTCTCGCTGCGGATCGCCTAGCGATCTAATAAATATTCGCCCTATCGTTTGGGATTTCCTCGAGATTCCGGCTGGACTCATGCTTCAGCAACCCGCCTGGTCGACCTGGCCGCCAAGGCCCGCCTGCTCGACATGGCCGCCTGGGTCAGCCTTCACGGCCCGCCCGCTGGGGTCTGCCCGCCCGATCAGCCCGTCTGGTTCTGCCGCGTGTGGTCTGCTCCGAACCACTCCTGAGTTCTCTGCTGCTCCTTATCCCTCCCCCCCTCCATCCTCTCCCCCTGATGCCGGGCCAGCGCTGCATGCACGTGGCAGGTAAGGAAGACACTCCAATGGGTACGATCGAAGACGAAGAGGGCGGGCACCGACGGTTGGGATGTAGGTGCTGGATGGCACGCGAGCAAATCGGAGCGAACCGTCCAACAATGGATGTTGTCGTTATCATGGCCATTGTCGTTGTTTTTGGTGGTAGTGTTGCTGCTGTTGTTGTTGATGATGTTGATGTTGTGGTTGATGTTGTTGCTGATTGTGTTGTTCATGTTGTCGTCCGTTTTACTGTTTCGACTGGGCCAACAAAGTTGGGTCATCCTCGAAAATGGTGCGTCCGAGCCCCGCCCCCTCCAAGGGATTCATCCCAGAGTTTCCACTCTTGTCTGGGCGGCCTGACTTTTTGGAGGGGGGGGGCTCGGGAATTCAAGAAAGAGAGAAATCACCAGAGAACGTGGGACGCTGGTGAGCTCTGTGACAGCCGCAAGCACCAACACGCTCGTCACGCAGGTGCTCAACATGCGTTTCCATTCGCGGCCAGCTGGTCCAACAAGCAAGTGGGTGGATAGTGTTCCCCTCACCACATCCTGGGTGGGCTCTCCTCCTCCTCCTCCTCCTCCTCCTCCTCCTCCTCATTCTCTGCTGCTCTCTCGCAGGGACCGCGCTTTCCCAACCCCGTCCACCAGCACTACAGGGAGGCCGCAGACCATCCCGCGGGTGCTGTCAGGGCACCCTGTTTTTTATCAGGGCCGGGGCCCTTCCCACGCTGCCAGCCCCACCAGCATCGCGTTGTCCTGGTCCATGCACCAACTCGCACTGCATCGCCAGCCCCCACCAGCTCCACCAAGATCGGGCGAGTGTTTAATGGGGGGTGACCTATAAGGGGGGGATGAAGAAAAGGGCCCCAAAAGGAACCTTTCAGGCCCCCTTCTTGGAACCAGCAGGAGCCCAACAGAGGCCCTACAGGGGCCCTTTAAAAGGGCCCTTGCCTTCACCCCCCGTTCAGATCCCATCCGCCACTGCCGCCCGCCCGAAGCAGCCCCGCCAGGATTGCGTTTGCCCCTTAGGCATGCCCCAGTTTTGTGGGCCCCGGAAACGGCAGGGCCGTTTTTCACCGTTTCCAGAAAATGTCCCTTGAAGAAAATGGAAACGGCAAAAAAAAACGGCGACCGGAAACGGCGAAAAAACGGCTCCAGGATCGGAACCGGAGCCGGAACCGAGCAAAAAAAAACGGCGACGGAACCGGTAAAACGACGGCGTCGGAACCGTAAAAAAAAACGGCTAAACGGAACCGGTAAAAAAACGGCCCTAGGTTCAGATCCCCCCGCCACTGCCACCCGCCCGAAGCAGCCCCGCCAGGCTTGCGCTTGCCCCTCAGGCATGCCCCAGCGCCCGCAGTAAAGTCGGCGCGTTGACCTGAGGAACCCCGAATCAGGAACGAGGCCCCTTTTGTCCATGATTGAACTCCGGTTTCCCACCGAAGCGCAAGGAAGACCGAAGGCAGCCAGTGAAACAGCTGAGGAACACCGAGCCCCTCCCCAACGAAAAGGGCTCCTTCTTCAGCGCCCCGACTGCAGCGACGGCATCGGCCACGCCCTCCCCCACACGTCGCGCCGGCCCCTCCTATGGGAGGCCTCTGCGCCAGGCCGCGCCCGCCCTGCGGGCACCCTGCTGTCGGTCGTCGGGCCGCGCGCGCGTCCCGCCCAGGCCCACCAGCGCTGGGCATCGCTCGGACGTCCATTCCCTGTGTTTCTTGTTTCGGTCTCGTGCGTGGGTTTTTCGCCAGATGATCAAAAGGATGCTCCTCGATGGCCCTCGCCGAGGAAAGAATGCACACGTCGGAGCGATCAAAAGGATGCTCCTCGATGGCCGTCGCCGAGAAAAAAATGCACACGTCCGAGCGATGCCAAGAGCAGCGCCGGGGCCGCGGCTGCCCCTCCTGGGAGGCCGCGTCGAGCAGCGCCCGCCGTGCGGACACCCTGCTGCGCAGCAGGGGTCGCGCCCTTCCCACCCCACCACGCCAACCAGTATCGCGTGCGGCGAGCGTCGCACGATGGAAGCTCGACCGATCACACAGTGTGCATCTACGGCTGTCCCCGAGAGAGCACGCCAGGCCACAGTGCACGGTGCGCATTCCGTCACGAGGGAAGTCAGCACGTCATGGACAGCACCGTACCCACAGTGGGCGAATCCCGCGCGCAAGTGGCTTAGCGGATCCAGAGGTGTCCACGCAACATGCACCTACCCCCCTGGGTCTGGACGGGAGGGGCAGCGGACGAGCAATCGGATGGACGTAGATGGCTCCAGCATGGCAAGATCTGCCCCAATACGGGCTCCAAGTTGGCACAAGAGAAACCAAGTTGCGCCAACATGGCATCCAACATGCCGCCACATGGCCAAAGATGGCTCCAAAACGGCTCCAAATGGCATCGAAGCCCCCCCAAACGGAAGTCCGAAAAATCAAAACCCTGCAAACGACGTAAGTCGTGTCTGTTGATTCGTCAATTGGGGATCACCCGAACTGCCTGTGCCGCTTTCGAATGTGATGGCCTTCTGGCGTCTCAAGATTGCCCCCAAAACCGGCCAACATGGCCTCAAGAGGGGCCCATCAAAGGGCCCAACTTTGGCAACAACGGCTGGCAATCACACCGCAACGCCATCCGAAGAGAGCCCCAAGAAGCGATGTCTCTGGCTCCGGGGGGGGGGGGCTAATCGGAGCCAACCCCTTGGTGATCGATTTCCCCGAAGGTGACCCTAACAAGACCCCCAAGCCCCCAAAAGAGGGCCCCAAGAAGGCCCCGAGAAAGCCCCAAGTGCCTCACGCAACTCGAACGGGGAACCTCAGGCTACGACGGGCGAAGACATGTCTGGTTGAATCGTGGCTTCCTCGCGCCTGCAATGGAACACCCAGGGGTCAACCACGAAGGTGTGTGCGGCGCCACTGCATGATGCCGCGCAGATCACAGGAGAAGAAACGAGAAGGGGGTGCCCTCTCACGGACCCGCTGCGTGTTCATATGTGTGACTTCTCGTCCTCCTGTCTGCTACGGCCCCTCCCCCTTATCTGCATACTCGTCCTCTTTTCTTGCTCTATCCTGGTCGTCCCTCCTTCTTTCTTCTGTTGCCCCTCCCCCTCTTCCCACGGTGCGTTATCGGATTAGTCCGAGCTCCATATTCCGACAAGGATGCTGTGGTTCGAGAAAGTCTCTGTGACGGACTCCAAGGTTTTCCTGGCTTCTGGCGAGGCCTTCACGGCTATTCTAGAGGCCATCCAGCTTCCACGAAAACCACAAATGGAACGTGAAAGCACCCCCGTCTGTATGTCTGTATGTGTAGCTGCATGTTCCTGTACTTCCCTGGTCTGCCACACTCTGCTGGGATTTTTTTCTGAATGGGGACGCGTGACTAAACAATTGTGTGACGAGCATGTCTCTTGTATCGACCAGGGCCTGGAACTTCTGTAAATGAAGTCCCCGAGCCTCCCAGTAGCATGTCATAAAGTTACGCAGAACTGTGATGGCTGCTGGCGCGAAAGGGGACCACGGTTCGAAAGCTGCCCGTCCGCCCGCATGGTGAACGCAGCTGCGGAAAAAAAAAAAAAAAAAAAAAAAAAAAAAAAACACCGACACCAACCTGGTGATTGACACTGCGGCTGCTATTCTTCCAGCACGTACCTCCGCATCGTCCTGATCCTCCTGCCGTTCGTCCTCCGCACTACATGTTCCCTACCTCCTTTGTATATTCATCCTCTTCTTCCTTCGCCGGGGAAACCACGCCGAGGAGACAAACGAAATTCACTACGCGACGTGAGCAATTGGCAAAGCCGCCGCCTGCGCCTCCAACGTCCTTGTGACCACGGTGTTCGTAAACGTGCCGATCCGGTCCGCCACCATCGACACCTCGACGAAGGCAAAGAAGCCGACCTGGCCGAGAGCTCCAACAACATGTGTCACGACAGTCGCCATGGCGGGTGGGTGGGAGATGGTAAGGGTTCGGGTTACGCACAGACCCCCCCCAGGTAGTCTTAGGTCGGGCCTGTCCCCCTACAGGCGTTTTTTGGACGACAAGCTGAAAATAGTTTAAAAACATATCCCAACACTTATACAAACTAATCAATACATTTCGTCCCCTGACTATTGTTAATGCTATGTTTGAATATCCCTCCTGTAGAGGGGCAGCCCCGACTTAAAGGTAGCCCCAGCTGGCCTCTACAGGCCCCGCGAGAACAGTCGGCACGCATGCTGAGGAGGCGCGAGAAGGAGGCGAAGGCCTCGGCCGCCAATCTCGAGGCTTCTCGAGCGGGGCGCGCCCCACGAAGGTGGCCGAGGATGGGCCGCGGAGGCAAGGAGGCGAGGGGGGTACCCTTGGGATCGTCTCTAGGCCCTTCTGGCGACTAGTCTCAAGACCCAGGAGGAGGAGGAGGAGGAGAAGGATAAAGATAAGACCGCCCTTGACGCCAAGTGTCTCTCTGCCTCAAAATCAAGGCGTCGGCGAGGCACACTAATAGTGCCAACTGGATGATGGCAGCAGGCGCACTGCTCGGGGAGGCCCGAGACTGGCCTGCAAGCGCCACGGCTTGTGGATGGCCACCCGTGGGCCTGATGGCACAAGCCGCAAGTCACACAGAGCTTCTCCCTCCCCCCGACCTCCCCGCCGTACCCCGACCCTTCCCTTTCTCATGAATACTCGGTGGCCTAAATCGGCCTTCCCGAGCACGCAGAAAAGAGAGTGCAGCACCTGGAGAGATCACTCCTCTTAAAAGAAGGTCCGCCATGCGAACAGAAAAAATTTCGAGGCGCCTAGCCAGGCGCCTAAGTTCACTCTCCTCAGACCCTATACGTTCTCTCCTCGAACTCCTCAGCTCATGTTGTTCAGCTCGTCTAACAGCTTGGATGCCTCCCTCTCCAACGGCCCGCGCGGGGGCGGGCCTATCTTCAACACCCCGTTCTCCTTCTTGATGGCTGATACCACCGCCACCTCCAGGTCTTTCCACTGACTCGAAAAACAAATCGTGATCCTCATCATGTCCTTGGCATTCTCCTTCTTGCGGGTGTCTCGGATCCTGCAGTGGCGGATCTGCTCCGCCAACGCGAACAGCTCCTCCTTCAGTACTTTGTTGGCCCAGAACTCTGCGATCATCTCGCGATGCTGGCCAGTGAGACCCGTCACCTCGTGCGCCGCCTGCAGCAGCGCCTTGAAGACGTGCAGGAACGGTGGCCCTAGGATATCGTGGCCTCCTCCGCCTCCTGTCTTCAGCAGCTTGGCCTGGGCATGATAATCTTGGCCCGCCTTCTTCATGGCGACCGCGATGCTTGCGTCTGACGGGATGAGGAAGGTGAAATAGACCGCCGCAATCAAGTCTCGCAGCTCCGCGGCTTGAGTGAGGGCGAGGGCGGCGAGCACTTTCATCATTCGCTCCAGCACCGCCTGCTTGGAACCTCCGCCGCCCGCCTCGCTCCCGATCTGCGTGAGCAGCTTCTTTCTGTCTGCTCCTCCCTGCGAGTCGGCACTTCGTTTGAGAGCCCACTTCGGATCCTCGAGCGGCATGAGTATGCGCTGGTGCGTGTTCAACAATGTGGCGATGCAGATCGGCAAGAGTTTGAGCCGAATACTCACATAACGGACAATCCAATGACTTCGGTTCAATAACAGCACCCAGATATCTACATCTTGACACCCGATCAGGATAAGCCCGCTTTGCAATAACATGTCTGTACGCCGCTTGATGACTCGAAAAAATCTCAGCGCAATATGGGCATTGATTTGTCACCACAATCGATGCATACACATCCGTTCTATGATGTACACGTTGTATGTGTGTGGATAATGCTCGACTCGACTCGAACGCCGCAGGACAACATACACCATTATCTTCAAAAAAACACTTCCACAGCCCATCTCCCCCCTCTCGTCGACTATGCTTCCCAAGACCTCCCTCCTTGTACGGTTTTTGCACATCCTGGGCCCGAAGGAGGCCCACATCCACCTTCACAAAATCTTTCCGTACCTCAGTTTCACAAAATATGTCCACTATGTAGTCCCCCATCTCCGAGAGAAACCATTCTGCATCCTCCACCGTACTCAGGGTCTTGACATCCTCCAGTACACGCACCGCCCACGGATTCGCCGTCGTACTCAAGAGCCCGAATTCGTCCATAGTAGTCCCACCCTCCCAATTCATTTTTCCGAAGTGTGCTGCAAGCCACTGCCGGTGTCTCTCAGGACGTCGTGCGATCGCCTGCAGTCTCTTCAGGCGCCGCACTCGCAGCTCTACCTCCAGCGAACACAAGCGCCAGTACTTACGTACACGTTCGTTAGACCATGCTCTATGCACTCCCTCTTGTTCAGTATGAGCTCCTCCTCTCATTGCCTTACGCGCCAGTTGATCTAGAACGTTCTGTAATTCAGCTAGTTGCCTATCCGACGGGATATACGCCTCCATGTTCTGTGCTGCCGTGCCGATTATAAAAGACAAAAACATCGATCGCTTCAAACGATACGGTACACCCTTCAGGAACCAAAAACTCCCTAGATAATAAAAAGCTTTATATATAGCCGCTTTTCGGGCCCTCAGCTCCGGAGCAAAAGACTGCGCCAATCTAGGGTCAGCTACAAATTGCCCTCCTAAATACCTAATCTGGTGGCATATTGTGCCAGAAGTCTTCAACCTACCCATGCGCATATCTCTCAAATCCAGATGGGACCCAGGGCCAGACAAATTAATAAGACAGGTCTGCTTCTTAGTATTCTGAGCACAGTTACTATCTGCTAAAGCCTGCGTCAGCAAGTCTGACGCCTCCTGAACTCTTGCTAGCAAAGGGGCCGCTCTTTCGCCAGCCCTTCCAAGGTGAGAAAGCTCAAGGTCATCAGCATACTGGCATAACGTGAGATCGATTGGCTCTGGGTCGCACGGGCTAGACGCCACCAAGCTCGTGTCTGTCACACCAGCTGCGGCCATCAGCTCGCGCCATATTCTTACCACTGGTTGGAAAGCCCTCACCCACGCCGCCACCATGAACGGGTCCCCCATCATCCCTCCACATCCAGGCCGCAAAAGCACGGACCCGAATTCACACGCGGAACAGAAATGGTGGCCCTCTCCACCCTCTGCAGCCCCATCGGGACCGCTTGCCAGTCAAAAAGCGAGACCACAGCAGCTTTTAAACGTCTTTGTGCTATACTTCCAAAAGCGTTGGTTGCATCAAAATACTGCCTGCAAAAAGACCTATTCTCTCGCTGCGCTCTCCATGCCAGGATCGATGAGACCAACGTGGGTGTCTCCTTACTTCTGCCAGGCTGGTATCCGTGCACGTCAGGATCCATATTCTCTCTGTACATGATAGCCGAGTACCACACTTTACCGAACGAAGGCAACATATGAACCCACCGCTTCCCCGCAGGTCCCTCGGCCTCAGACTTCCTCAGGCCTCCAGCCTGACTACAGTGCCAGAATCTAGGTGTGCTCTGTGCTGTGCGTATGCGCCACATGCCTAGATGAACAGCTTTTGTAAATAGTACCGTGGGGCGGGACGGGTCAGGAGCTCCAACTCCAGCAACCTGCTTTTTTGACGGGATGCCCGCCCCAGGATTCAAAGCCATGTCCCACAGCTCCACTGGCGACGACCATTGCGGGGTCACCCTACGCTTCTGGACCTTACGCAGCTGCCTACGCACTCTCTTCATGTCTTCACCCGCCTGCTCAAAAACCTGCGCGTCATACGGGACCGCAGAGCAGACTGGTGGCAATCCTTCCCACTCCCCCACCTCGCGAGCCGCCATCCCCCCCTCAGGTCCAGGCAAAGCCCAAAAATCTAACTGCTCCTTCCGCGTGGGCAGGGCGGTCCTGATCTCTAAAAACTTACGCTTTTTTGGTCCCATGCGGACACCCGCTGCAGCCCTCGCATGAAAAAAAGCACGATGGATGTTGCGCACTCTCCATGACTCTCTCATGGCCTCCATGTGCTCTTCCTGCTTCAGCTTAAATGCGGCTTTTGCTAGTCCTCTCAACTGCTTAGTCAAGAGACGGAGCCTATCCGAAATCTCATTCACCTGCTCCGATGGGGCCCCACCAAGAGTCCTTCGGAGCTCTCTTCTACGCACAAGCAGCTGCGAACGCTCTCTCTCATTGTCCGCTCTACCTGCAACACTCTGTGAGGCTCTTGAAAAGAGAGGTGCCGCTGTCTCATACAGCACCTGCTCTAGGAATTGAAACAAGTGATCAGGCTGCGGCTGAGCGGCCAGAAGGGTCCACTCAGCCTGCGTTCGCTCCATCGCCTCCTCCACCCCGTCCAAGAAGTCCCTCAGTCCCACCCCACCCCTCAACGCAGCCATCATCGCATCAGGATGCAAACGCTGCTTGCCTAGCGCCGGTGGGGCACTGGCGGCTGTGATAATCTCTCGCGAAAAAAGAGGCCTCACTACCTCAACCAGCACTGGCAAATGATCTCTCTTGGCTGCTACGTTTATCAGTTGCAGAGCTCTGCCTTTGCCCACGAGCGGCCCCGCCACACGTACTGCCTGCATCATGGCCGTCGGCACGCACACGTAATCTATGATCGAGTTGTGGTCGGTGCCGTAGAACGTGGGCAGGCCACTCAACGTAGAGGCCGCCGTCATGAACTGCGCTTCGAGTACTGCTCTGAAAGCCGCTCCTGCAAAATGTTCCAGGCTGGCCCCCTCTGTCTTGATTACATCTGGGTTCACGCTCTCCTGATCCGAGTCCTTCGTCAAACCCATGCCGTCATTCAAGTCACACATCACTATCGGTACCGACCGTGTCGGACAGGAAGCCAATTCCTTGGATAACCACTGTAAAAGACCACGTACCGTACGCTTGTAGAGTCCCTGCTTCTTGGTCTCCGTCACTCTCGGCGGGAAATACAATGCCAGCACCGTGAAATCCTCGCTCCTCGTTCTGACTCTCACCGCCAGACACCTTCCCAACATGCCAGGAGGCCCGCCTCGGACAGCTCTGATATGTTCTTCTCTGAATCTGCGATGCAACAACACTGAGACGCCACACGATCGGTTCGAGCACGGACCTCGCTGCCACCCAGCTTCAATAAGAATTCTCCCATTGACTATTCTTCGTTGAATATCCAATTCTTTGGCACGCAATTGTGTTCCCGTCAGGGCAATAGCTTCGACGCCACGAAAAGATTCACTCACATCCGATATTCTATCAGCTCGTGTACATGCTAGAGGATTATACTGCGCAAATTTCCACGTAGGGCCAACTTTGCTCTGAAGGGTACGCCAGAGAGGCATGAAGGACAGGAAGAACAGCACATTCAAGCGACTCATTGCGCCTGCACCATCATTCCGTCCAACCAGTTGGCCTGAGGTTCAATAAAGGGGAACCTGGAGGTCAGGATGTGTAAGCTGCCCTGTTGCATCAGCCACAACGGCAGCTAGGAGGAGAAGGAGGAGGAGGAGGAGGAGAAATAGGAGGAGGAGGAGGAGGAGGAGGGGGAGGAGGAGGAGGAGGAGGAGGAGGAGGAGGAGGAGAAGAGGAGGGAGGAGGAGGAGGGGGGGAATGGAATGGAATGGAAGGACCCGAAGGGAAAGTGCACGGCACTAAACCCGCGCGCCGCCGCGGCCGGGCGCCCGCGCGCGGGCGCGGCCGGCCGCGGGGCGCTCACGGCGCGGGTGGCGCACGGCGCCAGCGGGCCCCCCGCGAGCGGGCAGCATGGGGATGGCTGGCCAGCTCCCCCCCCACGTTCTGTCGGCCGGAAACGGCCCAGCCGGAAACACCCGGCAGCCGACAGAACGGGGGGGGGCCAGTCCAACCAAACCCACACCACCCACCCCAGGGACCAGCCACGACACGACAGACGACGACAGCGACGGCGACGACACGACGGGGAAAGACGGACCCCCCAGCCACGACTCCCACGGGGGACACCTGGCTGGGTAGCCAGGCTCCCGTGGGAGGCTGCGTGGCCGGGGGCCCCCCCGGGAAGGAGACCCCGCTTTGGGGGCCGTCCCGGGCGCGGGGGCTTTTCGCCCCTCGGGCCCGGCGCTCCCCGCCTGCGCCAGGGGGACCCTGGGGTCCCGACCCCTCCCGTACGAGGGAGAGAGGCCCCCTCGGGGCAGGAGGAGGAGGAGGAGGAGGAGGAGGAGGAGGAGGAGGAGGAGGAGGAGGAGGAGGAGGAGGAAGAGGAGGAGGAGGAGGGGGAGGAGGAGAAGTAGGAGGAGAAATAGGAGGAGGAGGAGGGGGAGGAGGAGGAGGAGGAGGAGGAGGAGGAGGAGGAGGAGGAGGAGGAGGAGGAGGAGACGGGCCCGAATAGTCCGGGGCGGTCTCAAGACCCTGGCGCCGCCTCCGGCGCACCCCCTGCAACGCTCTGCGCCCCAAGGACGGACGTGCGGAGACCGCCCAGACTGCTCGGGGTTGAGGCCAGCTGGGGCTTCTGGGGGGGGGGGCCTGTTGAGGCCAGCTGGGGCCACAGTGGAGGCCAATCCACAAGAATCCTTCCACAGGAAACTGAACCCTGATACCCCAGGGCGTCCATTGTTGTTTGGGTGGGGGAGCGTCACGCGTTCCACAGAGAAATATCGAAACCCAAGAAACCCAACGCGCCCTGGAGGCAAGCATGGTGATTCGTGGCATGTGTCTTCACTGTGCCCAGGGGGGCTGTCTGCGCGCAGCCCGAAGTCCTACCCGGTGGGGCTTTCTGAAACTTTCCACCAACCCACATCGAACGGATGAAAGACCAGGAAGCGCAAGCCGGGCATTGGCGTGGTACTGCTTAGTAGCTAGGGGGAGGGCGACAACTCTCGTACCCTCTGGCGGGACCAGAACCCAGACATCCGACCATGTGTGCTTTTATGCGTGGCCCCAGAGATCCCGACACCTGCCCCGGGGCTAGTTTTTCGCCCCAGGCCCCGGGCCCAACAACTGCGCGCAGAAGCCGAAATCTAGGAAAAGCGCCCGGATAGGAAAAAAAACACCGTCGGAGAGCTGGAAAGAGGACGCCGGCGGCGGCGGCGCCGGCGCCGGCGCCTGCGGCGGCGGCGCCGACTACGACGAGAGAAACGGACAACCCCCTGTCAGCGGAAAGGTCGCTTTGACCCCGTCGCCCCCCGTGGACGAGACTGCTCCCGTGCCGAACACTGCCCTGCTCGGAGGCTCCCACGGCACCCTGCAGCGCGACGCTCGCCGGGAGGCTCGCCGAGCAGCCAACCACTTCTCCCCGGACCACTGAACGAACGGCGAACAAAGAAACCAGGCACTGCTGGCGCATGGGCAGACGGATGGAACATGCAAATCTCATGCGATCCGGCATGCAGGAACACACATGGCTGCATGTTGCCTCGGGGAGCCGTCGTTGCAGCCCTCGTTTCCAGCGAGGCGCGAGGGATGGCTGCGCAAGATGTCAGAGCCAAGGGGAAGGGGAAGCGGGCACTGGAGGGAGACGGGAAGGGCGCGACAATCAGAAGAATACGATACTACCTTGGCTCGGTAACCCGGGAAACAAGAAAAGCACGCGCCGAGGCCCGCCCCGCTGTTGTCCTATGTTCGACGTCCGGGGGCTTTCCCCGAGCCCCAGGACGATCAAGAGCGCCGCAGGACGAAAAGCCGATTACAAGGTCGAGACGTCTGGTAGCCCGGCTGACATAGAAATCCGGTCGTCAGCGACCCGGGTTCTTTCCACTCTCCGGTTGGGAAGCCCACTACAGAGTGGATTCGCCCCAGCTTTGATTTTTCTTGCCGAATCCACCAAACGTGCGTCTCGTGAACCGACGAGCATGATTCGCACTTGCTTGTAGGTTCGACGAGGGAATCCATTCGGGGGTAGATCAATTCTGTAGCCCATCCCCTCCCGCCGCCTCTTTGTCCCCCCCCTCTCCTCTGCCCCCTCCTCTCCCCCCCCCCCCTCCTCCCCTCCTCCACCCCTTCCCCCGCTCTGTCCCCCCTCGAACTTTCCCCCCCCCCCTCTCCTCTGTGTCCCCTTCTCTGGCCCGCCCTCCCTCCCCTAGGGGGCCATATGCGAACCCTACCCCTACCCCCCACGATTTCTGAGCGGGAGGGTGGGGTTCACGTCGCTCGGGAGCTCCCGAGCGAAGTGACCCCCACCCTCCCCCTCAGAAATCATGGGGGGTAGGGGTGGGGTCCGCATCTGGCCCCCCATCCCCCCCCCCCGCCCCAAGACACGCCACGCCGTGAGTCGGGTCCTCGCGTCGCGGGCCCGTTCCCAGGGATGTGGACGCCCGAAACGGGTACGGAAAAAATGGGCACAATGCCCAACAACGAATGTTGTCCCAAAGCAACAGCGGCCGCTGCTGGGCAGGCGGCCTTCTGTCTCAGATGGACACAGGCCGCGGCGGCGCGGACAGCGAGTCCTGTTCAAAATGAACAGGAACTGCTGTTGGGCATCGTGCCCATTCTTTCCGTACCCATTTCGTCCGTGCCGACGGGACCAGCTCTTCCTCGCCTCGCATCACCAGAGACGCGAGAGCTGCCGGAACTGTCACGGGGCGCCTGCACACGTCGTGACAAGCTGGCCCCGCGCCGTGGAAGATGGCCCCCGGGAGGATAACCCCGGGATGGCCCCGGCGCCTGGGAGGATGGCCTCGGGATGGCCCGGGAGGATGGCCCCAGGATGGCCCTGGAGCCGGGGAGGATGGCCCCGGGATGGCCCCTGTGCTGGGGAGGATGGACCTGGGATGGCCCCGACTGGATGGGGGCGGTTAGCGCCGCACCCACGAATCAGAAATCAGCGCTCTGTACACTGCGAGGGTCCTGGGAGGCCAAAAACAGCAAAACAAAAAAAGTCACTCGTGGATTGTCACGACTCGAGGGGATCTGGGGGCGTGGCGCCTGTCCGCAATACATGGCGTACTGCACCGTGAGCGTTTCGGTCGCCGTGGACAGCCAACGGCTGTCGCGGATGCCCTGCGCCCCGGCGCCCCCCGACGCCCACCCCCCTCCGAGGCCCTCCGCGCTTCGGGGCCCTCGGGGCCACCGCTCCTTCCCCTCCTCCTCCTCCTCCTCTTCCTCCTCCTCCTCCTCCTCCTCCTCCTCCCCGTCGTCGATCCACATCTGGAGGCAGGCACTGGGAAAGAGACAAATTCCAGTTCAGTTCGTGGGCGCTGCCTGGACACTTTGATCTCGATCGCATTGGGCGACAAGGACCCAGCAGTTGCCCAAGGTCGGAGTACTTTAGATGTTTGGATCGCGAGTATCACTTCAGGGGGAAGAGCTCGAGCTCTGGCCCAGCAAGACTGGCATAATAATTTAGAACAAGCGCGAGCTCAACTTGAACACGGGTGGAGGAAGGTCACAGGTCCCACGATGGCCATCATCAACACCCTCTTAGACCTAAATTTGGTTACCACAGGGCCTTGGGACTGGACGTCGGATCAGAGAGATTAGTCTTTAGCCACTGAAGAGGTTTGGGAGTTCAAGGTTTTCGGCATAAAGGACTTGAAAGAGGAGTTAGCCAGCACCGTCAGGAACATAATGTAGAGAAGAGCGTCCAGACACTTCGAAAGTAAAGATGTAGCAGATGGTCTTCATTGACGATTTTGGCCGACAGTTGAAGGCTGCTGAGTGCGACCTCTCAGCACGCGTGGGCAGGTTGTTTGGTGAAGGTATCCACGGGAGGTCAGTGGCCTCGTACGTCAGCTTCCTGATGATTATCATGTGGTGTGTGATAGATGCGGGAGGAGAACGAGACGAGTTCCCACACGATGGGGATGCCGGTGCAATCAGGATTTGTCCGCAGTCAAGACAACGGCAAGCCTTGTGCCTCGAGCTCACACAAAGCACGAGGCTCGGCCAGCCCTGTAGCTAAGAGGTGTCACGCCAGCTGCTCGGACTCAGGTGACTCCACCTCCGCTCGAGGACGGCGCCGCCATGCACACGCACGGTGAGTTCCCTACCTCCTCGGGTTGTATCGTGTGCGCGAGTGACGCGTCAGGCGGCGAACCTTCGGCATCATATATTTGCTGGCGAGAGGCATGGTCACACGTTGCCTTCACGCCTTTCGGCCCCGCTGAGCAAGAGCCACATCTCGAAACGGCCCGACAAGCAGAAGGTGCTGACTGAAATGAGAAGATTATAAACAGAGGTGAGTTATTGGCGCTCCTAGGATCCTCGAGGACTCCCTCAAATGATCCCAGCTGGTGTAAGTCACGGACAGTTCCTACGTCTTCCTGAGGCTTGGCAGACTTCAGAGGAGTGAGTATCCAGACGCGTGTCGACATGAGCGGAAGAGAGTTCGCAAGCGTATCGATAATCGGTCGGCCAGCCTTGCCAAGGTCGAATCGCACACGATATCTGAGTGAGCAACTGAGGAGAGGCACGGCCCTGCTTGCTCCTGTCGGTAATGTCTCAGCTGACAGATTGGCTGAAAAAGAATGGTCGAGAACATGCAATCACCTTCGGGCGAGGTCGATGCCGTCAGAACTGGCCTCGACCTCACCAGTAGTAGACGTACCAGAACCACCGGCATCTTCCTAAGTACAGTCGGGGTACTACCAGAAGGAACGCTGAACGAGGAACGAAGCCCCTTCTTGGCCCCAGAAGCGCCTGGGTGCACGAGGAGTGCTGGAGGAGGAGCCGTGGAAGAGCTTATAAAGAACAGCGAGCCCCTTTCCGCACCCGAGGCGCTCTTTGCTTCAGCGTCTTAGCTGCAGATTTGCCATTCGGGTCGGGCGAAAGGGGGGGATAGCAAAGGGGGGGGGTGAGAATCTGCTCACGTAGCTGATTTTTCCGGCGCCTCCCCGCGCCAGAGGTGGCGATGTATCGAGGAATGGGCCCCTCGGTGAGGCCGAAATCAGCTGCATGCAGCAAATTTCGTAAACCCCCCTTTCCCCCCGACCCGATGGCCAAGTCCAGGCGGCCCACAGCTCCAGGGCCCCCCCTGCGGGCGCAAAGAGACAGCTCCAGACGGCGAGGTCCGAGGCCGAAGCCGAAAGGCCTCCGCTCCGCATGGAGGCGTCGAGGCCCGCGCTTTGGACCGAAGGTGACGCGGTCCAGGGGTCCGCGGCGGGCAGCGCGCACGAGCTCGAGCACGCTGGTGCTGAATCGGGCGTGTCCCCCTACAAATAAAATATGCCAAAAAATGCTCCAGGATGGTAAAACCAAATACTCAACAAATATTCCCCTAACTATTTTTTAATACCATTTTTGAAGTTCCCCCCTGTAGAGGGACAGGCCCGACTGAACGCGGGTGCCAGCGGCCGTTTCCAGTGTAATTCACACGGGCCCCAGCCTCCACAAGCTCCCTTGGAGACACCCTGCGCTTGGGCACAGCCCTGGACGGGCACCGTCCGGGGCGTGAAATCTGTGCAGGATGTTTGTCTGTTTTGGTAAAGAAATGTGTTATGGGGGCCTCGTATGTGCATGCGACCCACCAGTTGGTCGTGGCCCCGAGAGGAATGATTTTGCGCGTTGAACTGCAAATTTCTTTGCCCGTCGACGGCGAGGCAGAGGCCCTCCGCTCCGGCGTGTGGCTACATCCGGGGCAACCGAAGGGCGACTTGTCCGGCCTGCAAGAGGAAGGAAACAAGGCGAGGGCGGCCGCGCGGGGGGGGAGGAAGGAGAAGCGCTCAGACGCGCTCGAGTTCCGCGAGCTGCGAGTCTCACGCCACCCGCAGTCGCTCGAGACATCCTCACAAAATCGTGAAGTTGAGGGTCACATCTTAAGACCTAGTTTGCAGGAAATGGGCGTTTCGCTAGAGACATCCTCCATAAATGGGGATCGCGAAATCGCTCGCCTAATTTTCGGATCCTCGAAAATGGGCGTTTCGCCCGAGACAGCCAAAACCTGCGGAAGGAGTGCTAGCCGTGCGCATCCGCGGGTCGAAGCCTTTCAGCCTGCAAAGCCGTGAGAGGTCTGAATTTTGAGGTCCCTTTCCCAGCTTCCCGCTGTTTGCGATGGGGCTCGCTGTTTTTGGGACTGACCACAAGTCATCTGAGCGGTCCACCTCCTCCTTCCCAATCCTCCCGCTCCTTCCTCATCCTCCTTCTCATTCTCATCCCCCTTCCTCATCTCCGTGCTCCTCCCTCCTCCTCCACTCTTCCCGTGTCCTTTTGGATTCTCGTCGCTGCCCCCTCTGCTTCTTGCCCCCTCCCGATCCTGCTATTCCTCCGCCTCCTCCGCCACCTCCTGCTAATCGTCCGCATCACCTAGTTTCTGGAATCTCGGGACTCGCACTTCCCGTAAAGCCAGCTGCTCACATAGGAACCCAAATAAATTCTACCATCTACCATTTGGCAAGGGCGTTTGAGGGATGTACTAACTTATTCTAAGTGTCGATGTCCGGCAAACTCGTGAATGCACAGGCTGGGCTCTGTCGTGTCGCCCCACCTTTACAACATCGGATCACAGCACCAAAACTGAAGTTATCAAAGGGCGTTAGCGCATGTGTTTCACACATTCCCGACCATGCCTGTAGATATCCATCAACAAGTATGAACGGCAACTGTTCTTCAGTCCTGGAGACCTTCTCCATGGCGTCCTGGCATATAAGCCTGGCTTGCCGCTGGCATCATTGTATGGCTGGGTCGTCATCTTACTTTGCACCATGGGCGGGCCCATCATTACATTAAATGTAGGGGAGAGGGTTTAGCGGATGCTCTGCGAGTGAGCGTGGCGACTCAGCGCGGCACTGAGACCCTAACTACCTGCAATCACTGTCAGAGGAGACACCGCGACCACCGCCACCGAGAACCCATGGGTGGGGATGCGACCCCTGGGCGGTGCCACGCCTGAGCGTTGTCCTCCACTCCTCCTCCTTCTCCTCCTCCTACTTTTCTTCCTCCTCATGGCTCCTCATGCTCCTCCTCCTCCTCCTCCGCGCCTTCGCGCGGCACAGGCGCGCACGTGATGGGAGGAGCGTGCAGACACGACGAGCCCGATTCTTCTTGAAGGCTCTGCCTCCGATCTTGGATGTGGCCCTCTCGCGGGTCCCAAATCAGACTACCACTACGGCTTTTTGGCACGGGTCCTCGGAGGAGGGATGTGTGGGATGGCAGGGGAGCCACGGGGAGCGGAGGGGGGGGGGCACTTGACGGGCCAGGGGGGGGGGAGGGCCTGCGGGGCGGGAGGGAGGAGCGGCCGGGGCAAGACGAGGCAGCGCAGGAGGAGTTGGGGGCAAAGCAGGGAAGGGCGAGAGGAGGAGGAGGGTGGGAAGGGACGACGTCCGCCGCCGGCACCCGAGTCGGAGGGGGGCCGCTGGAGACCACGGCGGCGCCGCTGCCCCGGCCCACGTGTCATCCGCCGCCGTCGCTGGGCCTGGGGTGGGCGTGTCCTCGGGTCATGTGCCTGACCCCTTCAGCACTCCCAGAGGAGGAGGAGGAGGAGGAGGAGGAGGAGGAGGAGGAGGAGGAGGAGAAGGAGGAGGAGGAGGACGAGGAGGACCAGGAGGAGAAGGAGGAGGAGGGGGAGGAAGACGAAGAGGGGGAGGAGGAGGAGCTGGAGGAGGAGGAGGAGGAGGAGGAGGAGGAGGAGGAGGAGGAGGAGGAGGAGGAGGAGGAGGGGTCCGGGGCCCCAAAGTTCTCGAATCGTCTGGGGCTTGGTGATGTTCCCGTGAGCTCCAGCACGTCGTCCCGCATGATTTTTTCTGACGCGAGCGGGCCTCGAGGAGTCCAAAGATCCAAGGATTGCACCAAGACGCCCAAGATGGCCCCAAGACGGCCCAAGAGAGCTCCGAGACGCCACACGAGAGCCCCAAGAGCCTTCCCAAGAGGGCAAAACCAGTGAGTTCCCGAAGGTTTTTCAATGATTTGAAGATCCTTGACTTTTCGAGCCCCCGACGCTCCAAGACAGCCCAAGAAGCCCCCAGGGCCCAGGACCGCCTCAAGACAACCCAAAAGGCCCCCAGGAAGGCCCCAAGACGGCCTAAGAGCGCCCCAAGACAGCCCAAGAGGCGCCCAAGACGGCGGGCCCAAGAAAGGAAACACGAACCGACAATCCGAGCCTTCCGCCCCAAGAGGCCCCCAGATGGCCCCAGGGGGCGCCTCAGAGGCCCCAGGAGGCCCCCAAGAGGCCTCAAGAGACCCCCAAGAGACCCCCAAGAGACCCAAAAGAGGCCCCGAAGACGACCCCAAACAGACCCCAAGAGGCCTCGAAACTGCTTCCGAGAGGCCCCCGAGAGGCCTCCCACATGATCCCAACGAGCATACTAGTTGCTTCACGCCCATAACCCATGCACGGGGGCGGGATGGGCTGAAGGCCATTCGATCCGCCGCCCCCTGTCGATTCATCGCAGGGGTGCCTGGCGTGCTAGACCCTTTCGTTTTTTTTTTTTTGTTGTTGTTTTCTGCTCTTTTTCAAAAAGAGCTCCCCCTGGGGCTTCGGCCCGTCCCGCCGGCCACCCGGAAAACCCATGCATAAATGCCAAAAACGGTTGTTTCGCTCGGGACATTCTTAATACATCGCGAAGATGGCCCAAGATGGCCTTCAAGTCCGCCCAAGATGGTCCAAGACGGCCTCCAAGACGGCCCAAGAGAGTCCAAGACGGCCCAAGAGGCCCGCCAGAGGAGAGGCCTCCAAGAGGTCCCCCAGGAGGGCCCGAAGAGGCCAAAATCATTGATTTCCCATGGGTTTTTGAAGGATTTGGGAATTTGTTTCTTCTCGGCATCCCGACGGCTCAAGACGGCCCAAGAGCCCCCAAAGATCGCCCAAGAGGCCCCCAAGAGGGCCCCATGACGGCCCAAGTGGCCTCCAAGACGGCCCCAAGAGTGCCCCAAGACGGCCCAAGAGGCCTCCAACACGCCCAAGATGGCCTCCAAGACGCCCAAGATGGCCTTCAAGACGGCCCCGAAGCGCCCCAAGAGGGCCCCCAGTCGGCCCAGAAAGGCCCCCAAGACGGCTCCCGACGGCGTCAAACGTGCCAGGAACCCACCAAGATGGCCGAAGTTGGCTTGAAGCTGGCCCAAGTCTGCCCAATAGGCCCCCAAGAGGGCCTCCAGGAAGGCCAGAAGAGGCCAAAGGCAGTGACGTTCCTAAGGTGTTTGACGGATGTTGGCATTTCCTTCTTTTCGGCCTTCCGACGGCCCGAGACGGCCCAAGAGCCCCCAACGACCGCCGAAAGATCGCCCAAGGGCCCCAA